ATCCTCCTCATCCATGATGCTCTCGCTCTCATCCTCCGCCACATCTGCTCGCGCAGGTCCAAGCAGGCAGCCCCATGATGTGTTGCAGCACAAGCTTGCCGTGCCGTGCAGCGGGCCCAGCTGCCCAGCAGCCGCACGCAGCTGCAGCAGCCCCAGCAATCCAGCTGCCCAAAGCAGCAGCTCAGCAGCCATCTCCACCCACCCTCGCTGCCCTCCTCCTCGCTGTCCTCCAGCCCCGTCTCCCGCATCATGCGCTTCAGCCGCCGCTTGGCCTTCTCCGGCTGCAGCGCGCCGCCCTCCTCCTCGCTGTCGCTTCCGGCTCCGCCCCTGCGCGGCGCAGGCGGTACGCACACAACAGAACTCAGCCGCCGCGAGCAAGAGAGAGTGTGTGGGAGCTTGCCACGCCAGCCCATGCAAGCTCGCCGGCCGGTGCAAACCGAGGCCGGCGCCGCCGAGGGCGCGGCATGCGCAGCGCCTCACTTGCGCACGGGGCTGCCCGCTTCCGCCTCCTCCTCGCTCTCCCCCATGTCCAGGTCATCATCCGCCGCCACATCCTCGTGCTCCCAATCCTCGCCCTGCAGAGCATGGGAGGGTGCGGCAGCAGTCATCGGCGAGTGAGCAGGGCAGAAGATGCAGCCATGACGGCAGAGGAGCGGGAAGATGCGGGGTCGCCCAGCCGGCAGCTTGCAGGAGGCGGGCGGGGCACCTTTTCTGAGCGCTCGGCGTGGTCCTCCTCGGGCCGCTCCTCCTCGCCGCCGCCGCCGGCTGCGGCGGCCTGCTGCTTGCGCTGCTGCAGTTGCTGATGCTGCTGCTGCTGCAGGCGGCACGCAGGAGACCGGACCGGCGGGCAGGCAAGTGAGGGAGAAGCTTGCTCTGCGCTCTCGTGCAGCCACACCCCCGACTCTGCTCCTATTGAGACTTGCACAATCCAACCAGCCCTGGCACGCAGCCGTGAATGCCGCTTCTCCAAGGCCAGCCTCTAGGCCTCCCACCTGCGGCGCCGCCTTCACCACCGTCCTCGCCGCCGCACGCTCCTTGATCCCCTTCCATTCCTCATCGCTATCCGCCTCGTCCTCCTCCCGCAGAATGGCCAGCGGGTCGCCTGCACAGCGGGCAGAGGGCGCGGGGGGCAGGGGGTGGGATGGTGCAATGTGGGACCCAGCAAGGCCAGAGGGAGCAGGGCCATGCTGTGGCAGGCGCCTGTGGCCGGCAGGCAGCCGACTGAGGGCCGGTGCTCCTTGTCCCAGGCACCGGGCGCGCCCAGCAGCAGCCAGCCGGCAGCACAAGCGCACCCTCGTCCCGCCCCACCGCCCGTGCCAGCCGAGGGTTGGCCTTCTCGTGCTGCAGCCGCTGCGCCTGCATCGCTGCCTCTGCGTCTTCCAGGCTGCAGCATCAGGAAGCAGCGGGCAGCAGCCAAACAGGCATAAACAGCAGCAGGAAGCAGCAGTCAGCATGCCAAGCCTGGGCGGCGACCGGCAGCAGAAGTGGCAGCGAGGCAGGCCCGTGGCCGTCCCCAGCCCTCCAACCTCTGGTGTCGGCGCTGCAGGGCGGGCTTGAAGGTGAACACATCCGACACCGGCGCCGCAATGAACTCGTTGCCCTTGCCCTGCAGGCAGGCAGGCAGGTAGGCAGGCAGCGGCGGTTGGTGGATAGGCACAGCCCGCCAAACGGGACTCCCGGGGCCCCTGTCGCTCAAATACAGCGGTGCCCTGTCGCTGACCCTGTGTCCAAAACCATCGCCCGTACTACACCCTTACCCTGCAACCTGCACCTTGCTTACCTTCATCAGCAGGAAGTATCCGGCGCCTGTGTCGCGCATCCCGCGCTCGGGCTGCCCCTCGAACCGAGGACGCCCCGACTGCTCCTCTAGCACCCACTGCCCCGGCAGGCTGCAAGCGTGTAAGGAGCAGGCGGGCAGGGACATCAGCATCAGCCTGCTGGTGGGCACGAGGAGCAGGCTGTCTGCATGGGGATGCAACGGACACGAGCTGGGTGCCACGCCCCCCGCCGCCGCTCACCCGCGGGTGCCTGGCTTGGCCTCCACCTCCTCCATCTGGCCCATCACCCAGCTCTCGCCCGGCCGCTTGAGGTCTGGCGCGTTCGCCGTCTCCTCCGAGCGTGGGTCTGGGCGAAAATCAAGCGGGAACCGAGCAACCAGGTGCTTGAACGCGGCCTTGTCGACGCCGCTGGCGCGGATAACAAACTCCTGCGCCATAGCTGGGGGACCCAGCCGCGATCGGGGGCTCTAGGGACCTAGCAATTGGCTGCCCAACTCTTCTTGCAGGCGGAGGGGGTGGTTGGGCGTCCCGAGGGGGCGCGGCAATGCTTCTACAAACGAGACATATCCTGCCGAGATGATGGAGCGAGGCGTGGGACATCCAGCCTGCCGCGCTTCGCGCGCTGTGGCGGGTGCCGCCAATTTGGCCCGCCCAGGGCCAATACTGGCCATGTACATTGTTGCAATTTTATTCATTTGGTGAAGGTGGCTTGGCCAGCTGTGTTTTGTGCCCAGCGGCGGGAGACATGGGCTGGCGGCTGGCTGGCCGCAGCAGCAGGCGACACAGTGATGTGTGGGGCCTGCTCTGGACCCCGCACAGTGTGGATGCACCTGATACCGTAAACATCTCATGGATAGCTGGTCATGTGGAAGGGGGCATTTCCATCACTCTTCCATACGCCCAATGAGTTGGGAGGCCTTGCAGGTAGGTGGCGTCCAGCAGCTGCAGGGCGGCACACGCGCTGCTGTTTCCTGCTGCACACCTTTGCTCCCCAATACTTGAGGGTCCAGAGGATGATTGGAATAGAGGCCGGCGATGGTCTGGAGGGAGGCCTGGCACTTACGCCCGAGGGGCAGGTGCAGGCGGCGTGGTGGCAGGAGCCGTCTACAGGCAGGCTTCACAAGTGAAGCGGCTGCAGCGACCAATTTGTTCATTTTAAAGAGCCCGCCACTTAGATCACGCTCTGGAGGCGGCACTCCACGCGTTTCCAGGAGAGGGGACAACTCCGGCCAGCTGTCAAGTGCGTGATTACTCGGCGCAAGCACACCCATAATCGCTTACAACCGCAACACAGCACCATCTTGTTTGTTGAACGTCACGAACGGTTCGGGCCGACCCTACCCCCAAATGTCTCGCATGGCGTAGGCTGCCTCACTATGCACACCAGCAAGCCGCCTCGCGGCGCTGAGGGTGCTGCGATCAAGACGCGCCGCACGGCGCTGTGGGCGCTGCTGACCGCGAGCCTCCTGGCGGCGGCGCTCTTGTGGCAGTGGCGGCAGCTGCTCGGCGCGCAGCTCGCAGACACCATGACGGCCCGGCTGGCAGGCGATGGCAGCACCAAGACCGTGCATTCCCTCGGCAGGCTGGGCCTGCTGCACGGCAGAGCAGGCAGCCTGGGCCTGGGCGGCGGCGGCGGCGACAGCGGCAGCGGCGGCGGGCGCGCGCCACGCGACGCCGCCGCCAGCTGTGCCCTGGACGTCGCCGCCTCCCAGTTTGCAGACAGCTGTACGCTGCTGCGGGACGTATGCGTGGACCAGGGTACCGCCATTCTGTACCGGGAGGAGGACACTCTGCAGCTGCGGCAGGCTGACGGCCCGGGCTACGAGCTGATCGAGCCGCTGCACAGCTTCGCCAAGTTTACCTACATCTACCGCAGCGACGTGAGTGAGGGCTGGTGGCGGCATTGCAGTATGCAGGGGGGGGGGGGGGATAGGTCGGATTTCTTTTTGTAGTCGGGACTATGCTCTTCCGATTGTTAGCCACCACCTTGTGCGCTGGGTCGCGGCATGCTGCGGGACATGTGGCGCTCGCCGATGCTGGCCCTGCTCCGTGCCCGACCGCACTGCGCCTGTGGCCGCGCCGCCACCGCCGCAGGGCGGGGCCGACCCGCGGTACCGCGCGCCACCCATCCGGCTGCGCCCCGCGGCACAGGCGGAGGGCGCTGGGTACCTGCGGGACCCCTCCTTCTCCTCCTGCACCGTGCCAATACTGTGGTACCCTTTTGAGCGGCTCTCCAACTTTGCCCACGTGTACAGGTGGGGTGCTGGGTGGTGGTGTTGTGTGCTCGTGAATGCGAGTGCGAGGAAGGCTCAGTCGTGGAGCTAGAGAGCTCCCATGCTGCTCCTGCCGAGAGCAAGGCTGCCCTGGGTGCCCCTCTCCGCTCGCTGCTGCAGGGACAACGCCGCCAAGCTGCTGGGCGTGCTGCGTGGCACACCCTGGGCCCGCCACGCCAAGCTGGTGCTCATGACGGCTGAGGGCCTTTCGGCGCCAGACTGGAACTATGCCCTGTTGCAGCCGCTGTCGCCACTCAAGGTCGAAACGTGGGCCGACTTCTCGGCCCGCCTGCCAGGGGCGGAGCCGGCGGCGGCCGGCGGCGGCGGCTGCGTGCGGGGTGGCTGGGAAGGCGAGGATGCGGGCGCAGCGGGCGCAGGGCTGCCGCTGAGCTCAGAAGGCGGCCCGCAGCGCTGCTTCCGGCACATGTACGTCTGTGCCAGGGGAATTAACATCACCAGCTGGCCGCTGCACGGCCTGGGCCAGCACCTGGTGAAGCACTATGGCAGCCTCATCAAAGCAGCGGCGGCAGCAGGGCAGGCTGCGCCAGCAGCAGCGCGAGCAGCAGCCGGGGAGCAGCAGCAGCAGAGGCAGCAGGGAGGTGACGATCGGGAGGATGAAGGCTCTGATTCTGCCGGCGCCAGCGGCAGCAGCCGACCGGGCGGCGGCGATCGTGTGCTGCGCATTGTGTTCCACAAGCGCAGCACAAAGGACCGCCAGCTGCTGAATGCCGCAGACCTGCTGGACCGCTGCAACCGCTGGCAGTACACCAGCCGGGCGGGGCAGCGGCTGCGCGCCAGCTGCGCAGAGGTGCGTGGTACCGAGCGCGGCTCCTTGCTCCTCGCACCATTCCTGCTTCCCGCGCCCCGACGTAGTGCCCGCGGCTGCTGCGATGCTGCGCCCCAGGCCGAGCTGAGATGCCTGCCTGCCATGCAACCCTACCCTGCTGCTGCGGCGCAGGTACAGCTCATGAGCTTGCTGTCAGGCATGGCGGCGGCGCAGGAGGCGGATGTGTTTGTGGGCGTGCACGGCGCCAACATGGCCAACGCCTGGCTCATGCGCCCCGGCTCGAGCATGATTGAGCTGCAGCCCTACGGCTTTGACCAGGGGCCTGCACACCTGCAGTACCCTCTGTTCAACAAGATGGTGCGCGGCTGCCTGCCCGCCTGCCTGCTGCAGCTCATGAGGAGGGCGCTGGACCGGGGCAGTGCGCACCGTGTGGCAGGCTCGTGCCTCGTGCAGCGCCGGTGGCAGTGTTGGTGCGCTGCCGCTCCTTGCCGAACAGCGTTGATGCTGCACCCGCCTGCTGTGCTTGTGCAGGACAACGACACGGCGGTGCTGTGGTGGCTCATCTCTGTGTGCGATCCCAAGGCCTCCACACCCGGGGAGCAGGAGGCCAGGGGGGTGGGCACGCCCAGCCGCTGGCCCCGGGACCGCAACTTGCGCGTCAGCTGGGGCGCGCTGCGGCGGGTGCTGGAGACGGTGGTGGAGGTGGATGGCGACATGCGCGAGTACCGGCGGCGGTGGGAGGAGGGGCGGTGGTGGTGGTGGCTGGGGCGCGGCGGCAGTATGGAGCATGTTGGGCCAGGCCGCGCCACAAGGATGCGGTGCCCCAAGCGGGCCGGCACGGCAGACGCGGATTAGCTGATTCCTTCTCATCTATGCATATATCTACCGCTTTTGGATGCTCTGATTCTTCATTTCTTGATGTGATAACAACTCACGGATCTTTTGTTGAGCCCACCTCCTGGCCCTCGGCGGCAGGGAAAAATTTAGAGCCCGTTTTGCCCGTATTTACGGCAGTTTTTGAGTTTCTCAGCTGAAATCCGGCCGAAAAAGGGCCCTAGCCGTGGAAATGCACGTGTTCGAGTTGTTTTTCAGGCCGTTGCAGGCCGTTGCAGTACACCATGCAGTACATGACTGGAAGGGCCGGATAGAGCCTTTTGGGGGTTGAAATGGGTCCCCAAATACTCGAAGTGCTCCTGGAAGCTGGGGGCTGCGCTCCCAGACCCCCCTTACACGAAAACACATGGTGTCCTTCCTCAGGAGGCTGCCCTCTGGCACATTCGCGTTTTTGGAATACGGGTAGAGCCGTAAAAGCTCACGGGTTCGAGTTATTTCCTAAATTCCTAAAAACCCTGCTCGGCGGTAGCGCCCCCCCCCCCTGGCGCCAGCGAGGCGTGCTGCCCAGGCTGATGGCGCCGGCGCATACCACCGCCGATAATCCATTACCGGCGCGAAACCGAGTTATCACAGCCTGCCAAGGCTTGACTGCCAACCGGGAGCGAGACTGGGTTGGTTGGGGCAGTTGGCGTCGCATCTCGTGCTGTAGCCATGGAGGAGCACGTGCTGGAAGGCCGTTTGGACGCGCTGCGGAAGCGCGGCGGCTATGTGGCCAGCGGCTTCATCGGGGCGCTTGCGCTCCTGGTGCTGATGTTGGTCGCCGCCCCCGTTCTGCGGGGGCAAGCTGCCCAGCTGTGGCCTGAGCGGCGCCGCTACAGCCTATTCACCGCTCCAGACGGCGGTTGGCTGGATTCAGACGTTGTGCAGGAGCCCAGGGCCTGGGAAGAGCTGCCATTCAGTATTTTCACCACGCCCATCTCCCGCTGCTCCATCACCCCCGACGGTGTGCCGCCGCTCCACCGGCATCCCGCTCTGACAATGGTTGTCTCATGCTGGCTGAAAAAATGCAGTGCAAAAAAATGCATATTGGTGCTGCAATTACGGCCACAACGTGCAGCGGGGTTTCTGCGCTGCCCCATGCTGCCGGAGACCGCTCCCGCCAGGCGTGTGCTGCTTGCAGGCGACGTCATGCTGCGGGCCCCCGCCACCGAGCTGCCCTTCTTGTTCAACCTCACAACTGAGGCGCTGCCAACCAAGCAGGAGTCGTGCGGGCACTGCCAGGCACCGGTGGGGGACAACTGCAACATCACCAAGCTGCCGCACTCGTGCTGCGGCGTGTGCCAGTTCGACGGGCGCATGTGCGGCAAGCTCTACCCCGGGGAGGGTCGGTCGGAGGCGGCGGCGCAGCGGCTGCTGCAGGAGGGCTACCGCCTGCATGTGAGCGAGGGGGGGAACAACAACGCCAAGAAGTGGTGCTTGCTTTGTGGCGGATATTTGGCTGCTTGGTGGCTATGGTTGTGCCATGATGCCTGCTCAGCTCCCTCTGATCCCTTTCTGTTCATTGCCTGCCCTGCAGGCCTTCACGCCCTGCGAGCTGTTCCAGCGCATTCGCGGCCGCACGCTGTGGTTCATGGGAGACAGCCAGACCTGGTGCGTGGCAACCCGAGCTGCCGCTGCCTGTCGGTGGCCGCGGTGTGCCTGCCAGGCGTGCTCTCACTGGGCTCATGCAGGATTAGCGTGCTAAAAGGGTGCTGCCTGTGAAGGAGCACAGCTTGAAGGGGTGCTTCCTCCAGCTTGGGTGCAGGCACTTTTATTATGCTCTAGAGTGCTTCCTGCGGGAGTTTGCACCCACGCTGCAGCGCTCGTGAGTGGCCTGGGGCAGCGTGGGGCAGCAGTACAGGATGGCTGCAGGCAGCAAAGCGCCTGCCGTGCCACTGCACGGTTGCTGCCGCCCATCAATCTCGCCTGGCAATGCACCTGCATCTGCCACCTGCTCCTTGCAGGGATCCGGTGCCTGCCAAGCAGATGGAGACGCTGGCCACAGCCAGGCAGGGGTACTGCCACAAGTGGTGGGCCGTACCGCCAGAGTGTCTGGAGCTGGCGCACGGCACGCGGGTGTGCATCGTGCGGGCGGACACGGCTGGGGACATGCTGGATGCGGTGCTGCCCACGCTTATGGAGCATGTGCCTGGTTTCCAGGACGACATACTGATGTGGAATACCGGGTGAGCGGTGTGTGCAGCCCAGGGAGCGGAGGAATGGTGGGGTCTGGTTGGGGCGCCGAAGCCGCCTCGGCACTGCCTCCCCATTCCTTCGCTGCCCTCGCCACGGGCATGGGTGCCTTGTGTGCTTCTGTCAGCCCCTACCGCTTGTCCGCCGCGCCCCTGCAGCCTGCATTATTTTGAGTTCGACGGACCCCAGGTGTGCGCCGCCAACGGCACCTGCGGCGTGCCCGGCGCGGGCAGCAAGTACGTGCGGGAGCTGCGCCAGCTGGCCGACTTCCGGGCCGCCCACCGCGGCCGCCTGCCGGCTACGGTGTGGATGGACACCCCACCGCAGCACTTCCCCGGCAGCGGCTACTACGTGGGCGACTTCCATTCCGAGGACTGCATGGCCTGGGAGGCGTGGCAGCGCGGGGAGGCTGTGGCGCGGGCGGGCGGCATGTGGAACGTGGCAGCGGCGCCGTTTGTGGCGGAGTTGGCAGACGTGCACCTGCGGACCTGGAACGCCAGCATCCCCTTTTGGGCCACGCACATGCCGCGGGAGTGCACCCACTGGTGCCAGCCCAGCGCCTACCACACCTGGCTGTACCTGCTCAACGAGGCGCTCCGGGACGGCGGCATCGGCGGCGACCCGGCGGTGTCGGAGGCGGCGCCGCGCCCGCAGCTGCGGCGGCGACCCGTTGCCTGACTTCATTCTTTCTGCATGTTATGCGCCAGAAATAAACTGGCAACATCCAGTGTGCACTGCAAGCAACATCAACATAATAGAATCTTCTTGCTGCGCTGTTGCTGCCTGCATCACCTGCGGGGGCGGGCGCTGAGGTGGCCTAGGGCTTGGACCAAAAGTCAACCCGATGGGCCGGCGCACTTCACCACCGGTGCTAGCATCGTAATCGAGCAACGATGGCACCCCCGCGCCTCCATTCCTGGGCCCTGCTGCTGTTGCTGATGGCGCTTTCGGCCTTGGCGGCCCCTACCATCGATGTAGAGGAGGAAGGGGGGAAGTTGCCATGCCATAAAAACTCCAGGCGCAAATCCACGCTCAAGGCTCTGAAGGAGACCCCTTTCAGCGGCCTTTTCGCCGAACTGCGCAACAGCACCGTATTTGAGGCCAGCGGCAAGTGCCCCTGATCTGAAGAATTGGAAAAAATTGCAGTGCACGCGGCCAGCCAAGCCAAAACCCTGGTCGACGGCGGGCGGCCTCGTGCCCCCCGCTCCACTCGCCGCGCCTGCCCCTCTGCTGAGTCCCCTGCTCCTCCTGCTGCCCCATGTTGCAGCCGTGGCCCGCGTGCGCGGCAAGTTCTACGTAGTGTTTGACAAGTGAGAGGCCTGAGTCTGTGCTTTCTCACCGGGGCCTTCCATGACAGGACCCGCTTGCCACACGCCGCATGCCGCCAGGCACCCACCCACCATCCGGTTCCTCATCGCCCTGCCTGCGTCCTGCCTGCTGCAGCGCCATGAGCGTCGGCTTCTTGGACGAGCGCTTCCAGTTCAGGTGAGCTCCCTGCTGGGCCCCTCGACGCCCGCCTGCTGACGGCTGCAGCAGCCACAGCGTGCTGCTTGTGCCCTCGCTCCGCAGCCCTCACCCTGCTGCTTCGTGCTCTCGTGCCGCCGCCGCCGCTTTCCGCCCGCGCTGCCATCCCCATGCCGTCACTGTCCTGCTGCCTGCTGCGCAGGGATCCCCAGAACAAGCTGATCGGGGATTGGGAGCCAGAGAGCCAGTTTGAGGGGATCGCCTACATGCCCGAGTCGGACACTTTCCTGCTGCTGCACGAGGCACGCTGCGCACGCTGTGCCCGCTGCGCCCGCTGCGCCTGCTGCGCCTGCTGTGCTATCTCCGCCTCTGCTGCCTTCCGCTGCTGCCGGGCTGCCGCGTGGCTGGCTGCATGCCCGCCCGCGCGACGCGCCCTCCGGCCGCTGCCGCCTCCCACCCACTGCCGCACCTGGCCCGGGCCTGCAGGCTCTGCCCGACAAGGAGGAGGTCGGCGCCTTCAAGCCCTTCATCCAGCACGTCAAGGTGCGCCGCCAGGCTGCGACCGCCCGGGGCCTGGGTGGCCTGCGCATCCGGCCCTACCAGAGTGTGCCCCCTGCTCTGCTCCGGAGGCTACAAAAACAATCTCCATGTATAACTCTATAGAGTGCACTGCAGTTTAGTCCAGTCCGGTTTACCTAGCCTAGTCTAGTCTAGAATAAAGACTAGATCCAAGTGGCCTCCAGAGCATTGAGGTACTCTGGAGACGGAGCCATCACGGCTGCTGAGCGAGCGTGCGCCTGTGCCCCCTTCCTTCCCGCAGATCAAGCCCGACATGAGCGACTACGAGACGATCGAGACGTGCAAGGTGGAGTTCCACCTGACGCACGAGAACAAGGCAAGCGCGCCCGCCGCCTGCTGCGCCCGTTCCGGGGCGTTCCCATCTGCGCTCATCACGTCCCCGCCCACCTCTCCCGCTCCCACCACCGCTGCACCTGCCCAGAACGCAGCCCCATTCCCATCCACGCATGCAACAGGCACAGCCAACACATTCAGGAGCCACACGCACGCCCTACCTGCCCCGCCCCTGCAGGGCTTTGAGAGCATCCAGTACCTTTTCACCCCCAACGGCGCCTACCTGCTGGGCATGTGCGAGGGCAACTTCTGCGTGGGCGGCTCCGAGGGCAAGAAGCCGGGCAACGGGCGCATCGTGGTGTCGCAGCTCAAGACGACAAAGTGAGGCTGGGAGGGAGGGGAGGGGAGGGGAGGGGAGGGAGGGAGGGACGGGGGGGCTGCCGTCTGTCGCCGCACCGGTGGCCTGCCTGTCTGGCTGAGCTGGCTGGCTGGCTGGCTGGCGGCGGCCGCCCCGGCCAGCACCTCGAGCCCGCCCCCCGTACAGCAGCGCACAGCCCGCCTCCCCTGCTGGCCAACACCACTCCTGCCGGCCCCTGCACCCAATTACCTGCCCCGCAGGGAGGGCGGGTGCGTGTGGGATCCCATGAAGGTGATCAACATACCTGAGTCCGCCTACTTCAAGGACTATGCGGGCATGGTGAGCCACACGTGCACACGCATCTGCTATTTACGGCAGTGCCATGCCGTCGCGGACAGACGGCCGCGCCGCCGCGGCCCCGCGGCACCCCTGCTGCGCCGCCGCTGCGCCCCTGCGATGCGGTTGAGTCCCCATGCAGCACCTGCCATTGCCGTTGTCGGTGCTCCTTGCCTCCACCCCCCTGCAACCATGCCTGCCGCTCCAGCCTGTCTTCACCACCCTTTTGAAGTACTCTCGCCCTCCGCTCCCTGCCACCCCTCCCTCCCCCAGGCCTATAATTACGACACCCGCAAGCTGGCCATCCTGAGCCAGGAGGAGGCGGCCATCTGGGTGTGCCTGCCTGCTGCCCCGCAGCTGCCCTGCAGCTGCCCTGCCGCTTTCCCGCCGCCTGCAGCTGTCCTGCTGCTGCTCTGCCGCCCGCCGCTGCCAGGAAGCGTGCCCGCCAGCGTCGCCGTGCATATGCCACTATCACTGTGGCTGCAGGTGGGCGACTTCCACGGAGACAAGCTGGAGTTTGCCAGCCAGGAGGGCCAAGTGTTCCACCTGCCGCGCGACAACCACTGCGAGGCGTGCCGCCGCCGCCCGCGACGCCTGCCTGCCCTGCCTGCCTGCCTGCCTGCCTGCCTTCCTGCCCTGCGCCGCGCCTCGCCGGGCTTCCCTGCCTTGCCTCCCTCCTCCTGCCCCGACCCTCCCCGCCTCCCACTTATCCAACGTGCCTTCCCTCCCTCCCTTGTCCCCCCTCACCCCTCTCCCCTCCACCTCCACCCCGCCTGCCCTCCTGCAGATCGTGTACTGCAACGCGGAGGGCATCACATGGATCGACCACTACCGCATCGTCATCGCCTCAGACAAAGCCAAGAGCTACCAGCCCTTCTGGTGGGCGGCTGGAGGCTGGAGGCCGGCAGCGGCTGCGCGCTGGGCGCTGCTCCGCTCTGCGCTGCACGGCGCTGGAACTGCGCTGCGCTGGCGCTGCCGGTCCCCGCCACCTCGCCTGCTGCAAGCCCACGCCGGGCGCCGCCGGCCGCTGGACCCGCGTCCCACTGATGGCTGATGTGGCTGCTGACGTGGCTGCCGCGCTTTCTTGCCTGCAGGTGTGACACCAAGGACCAGTCCATCCACCTCTTCGCCATGCCCCGCGCCTGGGACCCCTACGCCACAGCTGAGGAGTCGGCGGCGCGCATGGCGGCAGAGGAGGCGGCAGAGGAGGCGGCCGCCGCCAGGGAGCTGTGAGGCGGCCTGGCCAGCGCCTGCGGGCGCTGCGCCGGCGGCCCGCAACACGGCTAGCTGGTCCGCCGTCGCCCGACCGCCGTCACCCCAGCAGCAGCGCTGTCGCAATTGTGCTGGCTGCTGTCATCATCGAGTGAGATGATTGAGCGACCCACTTGTACAGCCCTGCCCCCCCTCTTTTCCATCATTGATGCAAACTGAAATTCGATGCTTTGCTGCTTGCCGCAGCTGCGCGCCTCTCTTGCCATCAGCTGCGCCCCTGTCGGCCTGCCGCAGCACATCGTTTCCGTGCCGCAGTTGACATGGCCCGCGCCGAATTTGGTGCTGGCGTTGCGTGAATGTGTGAAACAATCGTGAGAGTCAAAAGAAGGAAACAGTCTGTGCGCAAGGAGTGAGGGCAGCCTTGGAGCGCACGAGGCATCACGAGGCCTTGCCCCCTGCAGCTGCCGCCCTTGGCTGCCGCCACCATGCGCGACCGCAGGCTCCTCACTAGCGCTGCTCACGCCTCAGGCAGATGACACAGCTTTCAGAGGGCAAGCTGGATGGTGCTGGACTCAAAGAGGCCTGCCGCGTCGCGCCTCGGCAGCCGCCCCTGCCGCCGCCGCCGGCGCCGCCGGCAACGTCATGCTGCCATCAGCTGCGCCGCGCCGTGCTGCGGGGCGGGCGCCATCATGGGAGAGGGCAGGGGGGAGAGGACGGGGGCGTAGCCGCACAGGTGGACGTCGTTGGCGATGAGGGTGTGCAGGTCGGCCCACACCGCCGGCTGCCGCTCCATAAACTGCTGCAGTGCCCGCTGGTCTCCCAGCAGCAGCGCCAGCGCGGCGGCCAGGTTGACGCAGCCCGCCTCGGAGCACACTGCAGGCAGGCAGGCAGGGCAGGGGGCGGTGGAGTGGGGGTAGGGCGAGGGGGCAGGAGCTGGCGGCGCAGGTGCAGGGGGCTGCCTCTGCGCGTGAGCCCGAGCCCTGCCGAGCTGCTCTACGCACTCTACCCTGCTCTGAGCTGCTCTGAGCAGAGCTGAGGTGAGCCCAAGGCCCCAAGTCAACGCACACCAGGCCCACACATTGTCAACCCCACCTTCCAGCAGCTGCTCGGCCGCCAGCGCCGCGTCCGCCTCTTGGTCTGCAGAGGCAAACTCGTTGGCCGCCACAAACAGCGCCGAGGCGATGGCGGCGGCAGAGGGCGCGAGGTGGGCGCGCGCCGCGGGCACCTCGCCCGCGGTGGCGGTCAGCAGCGCGGGCAGCCCGCCGTGGAGCTCCGCCAGCGAGCGGGACAGCAGCGTGACGTCCCTACGCCAGGGGCAGGCGGGGTTGGGATGGGGTGAGCAGGTGGCCGCCACTGGAGAGTTGGAGGGAGGGTGGGACGGCCTATGCTGGGTTGCGCCCTGCCTGCGGAAACCTGGCAGAAGCCCCCAACGCTAACCAACAGCAACGCAAGGCAGCCGGCAGCAAACGGCTGCACGTGCCTGAGGGCTCCAGAGTCCAGCAGGCGCCAGGCGTGGTGCGCCGTCAGACGCCACGCCTCTGTCGCCGCAGCTCCGTCCTCCTCTTCCTCCTCCTCATCCTCGGCCGCCGCCGCATGTCGCCCCGGCTGCGGCCGCAGCTGGCCACCGGCCGGCGGCGCAGCGCCGGCGGCAGGTGCTGCGGCGGGTGCGGCGCCAGCCTCCCCGCCGCCTCCAAACAGGCCCCAAAACCACGACCCGCCGCCCTCCTGCTGCTCCTGCTGCTGCTCCTGCTGCTGCTGCTGTGCTTGCTGCGCACGCGGCGTGCCGCCCTCTGCCTCCTGCTCCCCTTCCGGCACCGGGCCCAGCAGTACCGTCTGGGCGGCTGCCTCCTTGTCGGCCGCTGGCGCCGGCGCCGGTACCGCATCCAGCACGGCCTCCGCCTCGCCGGGCGGTACCAGAAAGCGCAGCAGGTCGGCAGCCAGGCCGTACTGCCCCACATCCAGGGCAGCCTGGATCAGCTGCAGCGCCTGGTGCTGCGCCTGGGCGCTGCCCTCAATCTGCTCCACAATCACCAGGCAGCAGGCGGCGCTCTGCAGGGCAGGGCAGGGCAGGGCATCGGGTTGGCGGATGGGTTGGCAGGTGAGGTGATTGGGTCGGGCGGGGCATGGAGCACGGCACAGCAGCGCCGGCAAGCGACAGGCGGGACTCGCGGGGCTAGCGCCAGCGCCAGCAGCGGAGGCCGAGGGTGGCAGCAGCCCCGGCGCCCCCGCACCTGCAGCTTCTCGGTCTGCATCAGGCCCTGGCAGAGGCGGGCCGGGGAGCCGACGGCGGCAAACAGCGAGGGCCACAGCGCGGCGTCGGTCTTGCGCGCCACGCTCACCACGATTTCCGGGAACTGCGCAAGGGAGGTGGAGGCGGGGAGGAGGCGGGTGTACGGGGGTGTGATGGGGTGGGTGTGGGTGGCCGATGGACAGCGAGGTGGCACCACGACACATGGAAGCCGCGAGGCGGCGCAAGGATGCCTGTCGGACCATGTACCCCGGCTTTCCGCCTCGGGCAGATGCCACATATGGCATATGCCCCTGCTGCCCGCTCCAACCGTGCCCCTACTGCAACCTGCAACGCCCCTGCTGCCAGCTCCTGCAACGCCCCTGCTGCCAGCCCCAAGCCCACCTGCGGGAACTGCGAGATGAGGCGCGCGGCGGCCACCAGCAGCGGCCCCGCTCGCCGCTGCGCCAGCGCCGCCGCCGACAGCACGCCCACGCTGCGCGGCGAGACGAGGCCGGAGCGGCCCGCGGGCGGGCTGCCCGCCGCCGCCGCCGCCGCCGCCCTGGATGCCTGCTCTGCAGGCTGCAGGCTGCCGACGGTGACGGCATAGGAGGAGTTAAAGCGCTGGCGCGCGGGGCGGCCGCCGCCGTGTGGGGAGCTCATCACAGGTGCAGCGGCGTGCCGCTGCTCCGCATCAAACTCCAGCGCCGTGAACAGCAGCCACTCGAGAGAGCGATTGAAGTGGGGGCCGCCGGAGTGCCACCTGCACGGGGCAGGGGCGCGGCGCACGGCGCGGCGCAGGCTGGAAAGCACGCACAGCGTGCGGAGCAGCCTGCAGGCCGAGGCAGCCGTGGCACCTCCACCTCGCACACGCACGGCACAAGCCCCCTCCCTTGCCCTTGCCCTCACCTGGCCAGCTCCAGAGCATCCTCACTGCGCCCCTTTTGCAGCAGGCGGCGCAGCAGGCAGGGCAGCACGGGCTGGCTCTCGGGCAGCGGCTGGAAGAGCAGGGACTGGGCGGCTTCTGGAGGGAACAGCTGGCTGCGCACCGTGCGCTGCACCACGCCTGCGGTACAAAAAGTACGGAGCAGGTGAGGATGCCATGCACGGTGGTAGTAATCTGGCTTGGCATGAGTGTGGGGAGCGGGCGAGCGGGCCGCGATGCAGGAAGCACGCGCAGCACGAGACGCGCTCGAGGCGTGCACGGCGAGCACGGCATCGGCGGCGGCGCGGGCAAAGCGTGCACAGCGGGGCGCGCACCGATGATGGACACCTCTGCCAGCGACACCCCGATGGGGTACACCTCCCTGTCAAACTCCAGCTCAGGGTCCGTTGAGTTGGTGGCCGCCGCCGCAGCAGCAGCAGCCAGGCCGGTGGCCGTGGGGCTGGTGAGGGACAGCGAGCGCAGGGAGGGGGTGAGGGGCTCGGACAGGGAGGACGGGAACCAGAGCTGCGGCGCGAGGGGGACGCAGCGGCAAGGGGTGGGCAGGGTTGCTGCTTAGCAGGATAGAAATGGGGATGGAGGGACGAGAGCCGGCAGCTGGACGGAAGGATACACCAGGCCCGAGGGCCAGTGCCGGCAGTGCATGCAGGGCTGCATTGCTGTCTAGTCTGCCCAGCGCGTGCCGCAGGCACCACACCGCACATCACGCCAGCACACGCACATGCACACACACACACACGAGACGTGTGCGCACACACCCGGCGGCACACACCTGCATGCCGCGGGCGCCGTACGTCCACCAGGGCATCTCCACCCGGGGTGGCTGCCGGGCCTCCAGCTGGAACACTCCCTCCAGCTGTGCCTGCTGCACCAGCGCAGCCGCCTGCTGCTGCTCCAGGCGGGCGTAGGAGGCATAGGAGGCGGCAGCCACCGAGGCAGCCGCCAGCTCGCCCTCGGAGCCCGCCCGCGCCAGCGCCGCCGCGCTGCTGCTGGAGCTGAGCGGCGGCGTGGCGGCGGCGGAGCCGGCCGCGGGCCTGGCGCCCGCGGCCGACGCCACAAAGCCGCTGCTGCTGACGCGGCTGACCAGGCTGGAAGTGAGGCCCGGGGGGCCGCCTGCTAAGGCTGCTGCCGCGGAGATGGGCAGCCAGAAGCGCTCAATGGCGTCAGACAGCAGCACCTCCGAGCCCTCCTGCAGGTCGAGCTTGCTCATGATGCCACCCGCCCGCAGCAGCACGCACTGCAGCGGCGCGTCGCCGCCGCCCCCGCCAGCCTCGGGCCGAGCCCGCGTGGCCACTTTCAGCTGCGGCCAGGCTGAGCCGTCGGCGGCGGCGGCGGCGGCGCCATCCGCTGCTTCCTGCTGCGCCTGCTGCGCCTGCTGCTCCTGCCGGCCCGCAGGCGGCTCCTGCTCCGCGCCCTCATCCAGCTGCGAGGCGCTGGCGCTCCCAGAGGAGCCGGGGTGGGACCCTGTTAAGGGGTCGATCAGCGCTATCTCCTGCAGCAGCACAAGCACAAAGGCAGCAGGGTGCAGATGGTGGTGGGGAGGCGGGGGCAGGCGCAGCAGGCAGGCGGGCGTGTGGCAGGTGGGCAGGCAGGTGTGTGACATGTAGGCGCGCAGGTGTGTAGACGCAGGCTACCACATGCTTGGCAGGCGGGCAGGCGGGCAGCAGGCAGGCAGTGGGCGAGCCACCGGCGCAGCCAGCCCTCGCCTGCAGCGGGTTGCCGAGGCCCATGATGGACAGCTCCCGCAGCGCCGCCAGGCGGGCGATGGGGCGCCCCGAGGGCCCCAGCGGCCCCTCCACAGTCACCCTGCACGCAGGCAGGCAGGCAGCCAGCCAGCAGGCACTCAGTCACAAACATACACACACAGACATCGCCACCACCACACACACGGGGCACACAGTGTGTGGGCCGCACCTGAACAGGCGGACCTCCAGCGGCGCAAAGGCCAGTACCATGTGCCAGCCAGCGCTGTCCATGGCCACAGGAACCTGCGGGGAAGTTGGGCGGGAAGGAGGGAGACATCAGATGTTTCAGAAACACTGAGCGGTGTGTGGAACGGTACCCAGCTTGGTAGGCAGCTGCTTGGCCTGGCGCTTGGCCCCGGTCCGGCGGCAGCAGCAGCAACAGCAGCAGCAGCGGTGGCGGCAGATGCGTGCCTGCTTGAGGGGCAGGCGTGCCAGCAGGGAGGCGTTGTCCAGATGGTACTGCGGGTACAGCAGCAGCTGCGGGGCGCCTCCCCCCTCCTTGCCATCCACGTATGCGCAGGCCGCGATGATGCCGCCCGGCAGCCACATCAGGCCTTGAACCTGCGGTTGGAGAGGCGGGCTGGGGCCGGGCCGCGTTAGCAGGCACGCCCAGATGGATCGCGGCAAGCACCTCAGCCGTGACGAGAGGCTCGCCGGACAGGCGGCAGGGCCGGGCTGCGGCGCGCCGGGCACGAAGCAGGCATGGTACACTGCGCCGGTGCGGTACCACAGCACCATTGCAGTACTGCAGCAACATCCTTCCACCGGCAGCAGTGCTGCTGCGCAGAAGCGGATACCAGCACAGCCTTCCGGCCCGCCCACCCACCCGCAGGTTCTTTTCCTGGGTGGCGTCTCCAAACAGGCGCCAGCGGCGGGCGCGGCGCGAGTAGAGGGCCAGGCCGCGGGTGCCCGCCACCGCCACCTCGCCGCAGCTCTGGCTGATGGAGGCGTGGAGCTGCAGAGGGTCACGGTGGAGGAGGAGAGGGGGGTGGGATGTTGGTTCAGTGGGGTGGGGGTGGGGGAGCCTAGGAAAGGATACATATGTGAAGGGAGGGAGGGAGGGGGTCGGGCCTGCAGGATGCAGAATGCTGCGGTACAATTACGGCGGTACATGAGCGGTACAGCTGCTCACCACCGGGTAGGCGGCCTCGATGTACTGCTGGGGCAGCTTCACGTGCTGCACCGACAGGTCGGGCCGCACCCCGACGCCCTCGCCCTCTGCCGCCTCTGCGGCGCCGCCGGGCACGCGCAGCGCCGGGTTCACAATCTGGCGGGCCTCGCTGATGAGCAGCACGCGGTCGGCGGCCTGCGGGGCGCGGGCAGCAGGCAGGGCAGACGGCGGAGTGTGGACAGGCGTGCAACTGGCGGCGGCGGCGGCGTGGCGAGAGAGCCAGGGGCGATGCCCGGTGGCCGGCGCAACGCTTGCCCTCTCGCAGACAACAAGCCTGCCCACGCCGGCTAGCAAGCTCAGGGCCGGCCTGCCCACGGCGCAGCCGGCACGCCGCTCGCCCCGCCCCACCCCTTGCTGCGCCGCACCTGCAACGCCTGCACCTCATCAAGGCCGCTGCCCGCGCCGCCGCCGCCCGCGGCCTGCTGCACCACGCGGTGCGAGCCGTGCATGTAGCGAGCAAACTCGAGCTGGTGCAGGCTGCGGGCCTGCCCCACCTCTGCGACAAGCAGCTGGTAGCCGTGCACGCTCCAGGTGAGGGCAGACACGCCGCCCTGCAGAAAAAGGAGGGGTGCGTGGGTGTGTAGTGGAGGGGAGGGCGTGGCACCGCCCCTAGGCCTGCACCATGCAGCATGCGTGGCGAGCACACAAGCCGGCCGGCTGGCAGGCGGGCGCAGCGGTTGATGCACGTGTAGGTGTAGGTTGGCACACCAGCGCTGCCAGCTCCCTGGCTCGGCAGCCTGGCAGGGGGGCTCACCTCCAGCACTCCCGCCTCGGGCGCCTGCCCGGGGTTGAGGCCGCTGTGTTGGGACCACAGGCCGCCGCTGGCGCCCGCCGCAACGGCCGACTTGCGCGGGCTGCCTGCCGGCGGCGCCTCGCCGCCGCCGCTGCCGCCGCGCTGCTCGGCAGGCTTGCGTGCCGGCGAGGCATGTGGGCCCGCCGCCGCCGCGGCCGCCGCGTCTGGCGCGTGCCCCGCCGGCGGCAGGCTGGTTGTGGACTGCTGCATGCCGGCTGCCGCCAGCCCCGCGCTGCTGGGCGCCCCCGGCGCGTTGCCTGTGGCCACCGCCTGGCGCAGGGAGCACGTGAGGCGGCAGCCGGAGGGCGTCCACACCGCCAGGCCCCGCTCCGCATACCCCACAGCCAGCACCCTGCCATCGGGGGACCAGCGCAGGACCGAGGCGGGGCCCACCACCGCCGAGCGGTAGCCCCAGTCGGCCAGCGACAGCACGCGGGTGGGCTCGGGCTGGCCGGAGCCCGCGCCGGCGGCGTGGCCGTGGCCGTGGGCGTCGGCGGCGCCGCCGATGCTGTGCCGGCTGCCGCTGCTGCGCGCGCCGCGCACGCTGAGCAGGGACTGCAGCGTGTAGATGGCCACGCGCCCGTGCGACATGCCCAGAGCCAGCAGCTGGGCCGTGGGGTTGAGGGCCGCCGCCACCGCCGCCGGCGAGTCTGCGCCGACAGGCTTGAACACCCACCGGAAGAGCTGCAGCTGCTCCGGCGGGTGGATGCCTGAGTCTGCTGTGCGGCACAGCGCGCAGCGCCCGTCCCGCAGCACGACGGCCAGCATGCGGGCGGCGGGGGCGTAGTGTATGCACGCCACCGCCACGTCAGCGGGCTGAGCTGGCGTGGGCAGCGGCAGCGAGTCCATGGCATCCAGCAGCCGCGACGAGCCGCCCAGGCCAAAGCTGCCCACCTCGTTGCCCGAGGAGGTGCGGCTGGGGGGCGCGGGGGGCGGCGCCGACGACGCCAGAGAGCCGTTGCTGCCGCCGCTGCCTGCCAGATCAGCGCCGGAGCTGCTGAAGGGCGAGGGGCGCACGCCCAGGGTGCCGCTGGTGCGGTCCAGGTTGATGGAGGCGGTGCGGGCCTGCTGGCGCCGGCTGCGGCTGCCCTCGTAGGCAGCGATGAAGGGGTTGGCCTGGCCGCGCAGCTGCAGGGGCCGGGGCCAGGGGCAGCAGGCAACCGCCGCGCTCAGCAGCTTGCCGGGCTGCGGCAGCGACGGCTGGCAAGCAAGCATGTGCACGCATGCATGCAGCACAGCGGTTTGGTAGCAGCCACTCGCTGCCGCAGCTGCATGGAGCTTCCTGGCCCACCCTCCTCACAAGCGCCCACCCGCACCTTGCCCTGCCAGCTGAAGACCTGCATGGTGCCATTGGAAAGCGCGACCAGCAGCGACTTGGCATCGCCGCCCACGTCGGCGACCCGCACCGCGCCATAGTCGAGGTGTATGGAGTGGGACAGGTAGACGTTCACCCGCCGGACCTCCTGGCTGTCGGGCAGGCGCCACAGGGCCTCGCTGGACACGTTGAGGGCGTACAGCTGCAGCCGGTTGTGCGAGGTCTGATGGGCAGGGGAGGGGAGGGAGCAACGGTTGGGGAGGTGGTGTGTGGAGCGATGGGCGGGTGGGCCCACCGGTGAGTGCATCGGTGTGCAGCAATGCCTCTGCCCCAGGACACCCGAGGCATGCTGTTCAGCCTGCATTCAAGGCCAGCCGCGATGGCACAGCCAGCCGAGCTGCGGTTTGCCACCCGCCGCGCCGCTCACCGCCACCGCCAGCACGCGCTTCTGAGGGCACCAGTGGGCTCGCACGTTGGGGCCCTCCTCCTCCACCTGCTCCTGGCTGCGGTGCGTCTCCCCCAGCTTCACCCGGTGCTGGGAGCCGCTCCAGACTTGGACAGTGGAGGAGAATACGACAATCACAAACTCCGGGCTGGTGTTGCTGCAGTAGATGGCCTCCTCATCCGCCCCAGTCACCCCCGTGTTGAGGGCGCGGGGAAAGCCGTAGGTAAAATACATTGGCCGGTGCTGAGCTTCAACAATCAACTGGCGGACCCATCCTGGGCGGCTTGCGGCGATCGCACGCCAGCAGGGGAGCGCAACTGTGTCTGCAGGGCGGCTGTTGATCGAGTTTCGTGCGCTACCCCGCTGGCTCCAGCGGGGCACCTTTTCTGAGCGGGCCTAGCCCCGCGGGAGGCCCCCACCAGTACCTGTCGGCTCGATCTCATGCCTGTCGGGAGTGGCCCGCTTGGGTGGAGACGCTGAAGTAGCAGCACCCGGGAGGTCGGCGATCGGGGCGGCTTTTGGGCCCCAGCTGCAGCCATGAAGGCCCTCATGCTGGGCGTGTGGGCCATACTGGCGCTGCCCTCCTTCCTGCTGCTCCTCTATCTGCTGAACGTAGACCTAGCCTACCTCTTCTTCCTCTTCAAGAATATCAGCCCCTACTTCTGGTCTGCGCTCGGCATCAGCCTCTGCGTGGGCCTGAGCATCGTGGGCGCCGCCTGGTGAGCAGGGGTGCGCCGCCGGCGGGGCGGGCAGGCGAGGGCGCCCTTTCCGCCACCCAGCGCCCTCGTCCCTGCAGCAGCAAGCTCTGTCGCTGCGGGTCGTGGCGCAACAGCGTCCTGGACACGGCAGGCGTCAGCAACACTGCGCATGCGTCCCCAGCTGTCCTATCGATGCGCCGCCGCCGACGCCCCCATGCCCTCGGCGTGCCCTTGCTGCCGCAGGGGCATCTTCATCACAGGCTCCAGCCTGGTGGGTGCCGCCATCCGCGAGCCCCGCATCACATCCAAAAACCTGATTAGGTGCGGCGAGGCACAGTACACAGCTGCGGACACCCCATTTGCTGCCACCGCCTGTCGTGCTGCTTCACATTTGCTGCACCACCTGCGGATGCCCCCTTGCCCTCCCACCGCCACCTGACCCGCTGCCTTGCGCTTCCCGCCGCTTCCCGCCCTGCAGCATCATCTTCTGCGAGGCGGTGGCCATCTACGGAGTCATTGTGGCCATCATCCTGCAGACCAAGGTGCGCCCGCCTGCGCCTGGCGTGGCACGCATCCCGTGGCCACGGGCTGGCAGCTTCGAGCAGCATGGTGGCTGGGGACAGGGGGCAGCCCAGCCGCCCTCGGTGTCCCAGCCCTAATCCTGACATTGCTTTGGCCCTGCTTGCTTGAGCACGGCCTCTCTGAACGCAGCCGCCCTGCTGCCACCAACACAGCCCCTCTGAACGCTCCCGCCTGACCTCCCCACGCCGCCCGCCACGCCGGCCGCAGGTGGAGGCTGTCAAGCCCAACGCCGACGGTTCGTACGGCCTGGCCGCCGCCAACGCCGGCTATGCCATCCTGGGCGCGGGGTCGGTGACGGGGTGGGCCAACCTGGCGTGCGGGCTGTCGGTGGGCATCGTGGGCAGCAGCGCCGCGCTGTCCGACGCCGCCAACTCCACCCTCTTTGTGAAGATCCTGGTGGTGGAGATCTTTGCCTCCGCGCTGGGCCTGTTTGGTGAGTGCAGCCACAGGCGGGGCTCGCTTCTTGCAGGCCAGCCGTGCGGGGGGTTCCCGGAAGCGGCATCTGGGCAAGCAGCGCGGCGGCACACGCACAGCCGTGCCATGCGTGGGAGACGTGGGGGATGGTGCCCAGCCTGCGTGGAGAGCGCGGCTGCTGCTGGCTGAGCCTGGGTGCTGGCACCCCTGCCTTCCACCTGGCGTGTGTGCAGGCGTGATCATCGGGATCATTATGGCGGGAAATGCAAACTTCACGGCACAAGGCTGATGCATCGCAGCGCTCCGTATGGGCAGGTGGCGCCACACCGCGCCCCGCCCAGCCCCATGCCTTTTCCCTAACTTGCGCTCAACAACGTAATGTTTACCGCTGGTTTGTTCTGTGCTCGCCGTCCGGGCGCCGTCCCATTTCCTGTTTGCACCCTCTCTGGCCCCACCCCTCAGTCGGCGATGTGCCGCGCGGTGTGGTGCTGCAGCGCCGCCTCCAGCCGCTGCCGCTGCTGCTCGGGCTGGCACGGCTCCGCCTCATACATGCCGGCCAGGCTGTAAACCGACACCACCCCGTCGTCCGCTCCCGCCACCACCACCGGGGCCTCCTGCAGCAGCACACGCAGCCCGCCGGCAGGCAGGAAGGCAGCCAGGCTCAGCTGGCCAACACACACAAGGGCTTGCGTTGCCAGTGTAGCCGCCCCTCTGGCCATGGAGCGCCTGCTTGCCTGCGAGAAGGCCAGCGTCGTGAGGCGCACCCCCAGGCGCATGGCGATGCCGCGCGGCACCAGCACCGACCTCTCCACATCCCACAGCTGCAGGCTGCCGCCGGCGGCGGCGGCAAACAGCGTGGCTGCGGCGGGGCAGAACGCCACGTCTGCCACCTCGGCCTTGCAGGAGGGCAGCTGGAAGGTCCACAGGCTGCGTGGCTGGCCCTCGCTCCACAACCGTACCGACCAGTCGGCAGAGGCGGTGAGGAAGTGGGAGGGGCTGAAAGGAGAGTAGCAGACCTGCAGGTGCACCAGGCAGCACACCAGGCGGGCAGTCGCCTCTCCAAGGCCCTCCTGTCCCTCCCTGAGCGCACAAGGCCATGCCGTTCCACACGCCTGCCATGCTGCCCGCCACCCCGTCCAGCCCCGTTAACCCAGCTGCTTGCAACCGCGCCCACCAACCTGATACACCGGTGCCAGGTGACCGCTGTAGCTCTGCACATACTGCTCCGAAAACACGGTGGAGCAGCGGTGCACCGCCCCCTCCTCCGTCCCCACAAGGTACGTGCGCAGGTCCGCGGCGCTGAAATCGAAGCAGGTGCCGCCGCCGGCGCGGCCCAGCATGCCTTGCGTGGCGCTGCTGCTCGTTGCCGTGGCGCCAGGCGCAGCCTGTAGCAGCGGGAGGCGGGCAAGCCAGCGTGCGATTTCAGTAGAGGCATGAAATCACAAGCACTGTGCCAGGAAGCTCGGGAGTCTGCGGCAGCAACGGTGAGTCTGCCCCACCTACCTGCAAGGCAGGCAGCTCCGGCCCGCCGCTCCCGCTGCCGCCCGTGCGCCGCGCTGAGCTGGCGCCACCGCCGCGCTGCGGGCGCTTGAGCCGCAGCAGCTCCACTCGCTCCAGCCCCTGCGCATGCTTCCATTCCAGCACCCTGCCATCACTGGAAATGGACACAAGCATCTCCTCCCCGGGATCGGTGGGCCGCGGCACGTACCGCAGCCGCCACACCGGCTCGGCATGGCCGCCGCCGGCGCCGGCGCCGCCGCCCGCGGGCGGCGCTCGCGCCAGCGGCTCGCTGCTGCCGCCGACCTTGCCGCTGCCGCTGGGGCTGCTGACGTCGTAGACCGCCACGCTGCCGTCGTAAAAGCCCAGCGCCAAGGTGCCGGGGGCCTTGCTGCTCCAGTCCAGGGCGCTGACGCCGCAGGGGGTGGCTGTGTGCCACAGCGGGTGCGTCGGGTTGGCAAGAGACCAGACGGCCACCAAGCCGGCGCCAGACACCTCATACTGCAGGCACCCATAGCCCACTGCCAGCAGGCCGGGGGAGGCCTTGCTCCATGCCAGGCACGAGACGGGGAGGCCGCCAGTCACCTTGCCACGCCAGGCCCACAGCAGCTGAAGCTCTGCCGCCTGCTGCCGCCCGCTCAGGCTGCCGGGCGGCGTGGCAGCGCCCGAGCCCCCTGCGCCCTCCTCCTTCCCATGGTCATCAGGTCTGGGGCTGCCCTCAAAGCTGCCCTGCGCACCTCCCTGCCACTCTGCGAAAGACTCGGCCCCTTCAGGCTGCGGGAGGCCATTTGCTGCTGGCCCTGCCCGGTCGGCAGCTGCCGCAGAGCTGCTGGGTGGGCTGCGCGCCGTGTGGCACAGCTGCACGCTGTGGTACTGCGCCAGCTTGGCATGCTGCACGTTCAGCAGTACCGCCTTCTCCGCCGCCTGCAGCCTGCGCAGCAGCCCTGGCATGCGCCCCAGCGCGCGCTCCTGCTGCGCCTTCTCCCGCCGCGCCGCCGCCGCCGCCGCCTGCTCCGCCGTCACCTGCGGCGGCGCAGCCTGTTGCGGCGCCCCGCCCCGCCCCTGCCCCTGCGCCACCGACAGCACCGAGGCGCGGCCCGTCTGCGGCCGACCCCCGCTGCCGCCCCCGCCGCCGCCGCCAGCGTAGAACCCCGCCGCGCTGCCCAGCACGGTGCCCCTGCCGTCCGTCATCACACTGGTGCGCCCATCGGCCGACAGGAAGGCTGCAAAGCTGGTGCGGCTGCTCATCATTGAGTCGCGGGCAGACCACTCTGAGGCCTGCATGGAGGTGCGGCGCGACCCTGCCATGCTGGTGCCCGGCCGGCTCCACTCGTCCACGCCGCTCATCGTCGACGTGCGGCGGAAGTCTGCAGGGGCAAGGGGCATGTTGACCTGCTTGCACTGGCAGGCCACAGATGGAGCTGGGACAGGACAGGAGGCGGTGGTGGAGATCCAGAAGGGGGGAGGAAGCTGTGTGTGCAGCAACATCAGGGCCTGCCTGCAGCCACCCACCCGCCATGGAACCGCGCCGGCTGCTCGACTGCGAGTGCAAGCCGCCGCCGCCGCGGTGGGAGGGCACGGGCGAGCCGCGTCGGGTGTCCAGGCCGCCGCCGCCGGTGCCGGGCCCAAAGCTCTGCAGGGCCAGCAGCGCTGCCTCCTCGTCTTCCCCGCCGTCCGCCCCCCCGGCTGCCTCCGCGCCGTCGCCTGCCCCGCCCTGGCGGGCTGCCAGCGCAGCAGCATCCTCCTCCCCGCCGTCGCCGTCTGGGCTCTTGGCGGCCGCGGCCCGCAGCTCCCAAGGCATCACCTGAATGCCCCTGCTGGCCCGTGTCACAGCAGCGCACTGTGTGGCCTTGCTCCTCACCCTGGGCTGGCTGCCACGCTCCTGCGGCTGGCCCTGCCGGTGGTGCAGCTGCTGGCCGTGCTGCAGGGCCAGCAGTTCAGGGATGGCAGGCTGCTGCTGCGCCTCGCCTGCCCTGTCGCCATCCAGCGTGGCGCCGGCCAGCGGCCAGGCGTCACCGCCGATGCCGGCAGCCGCCTCCTGGGCTTCGCCACCCGGCACCAGCGAGCCCCTGATGCTGGCTGCGCCGCCGGCGCCGTACTGGACCGACTCGCGGCCTGCTCCATGCAGCGCAGACTCCCTGCCATGCAGCACAGACTCGCGGCCGTGCAGGACAGACTCCCTGCCGCCGCCGCTGCCGTGCATCGTGGATTCGCGTCCAGCGGGCCGCACGCCTGGCGGCAGCCCTGCGCCGTCCAGGCTGACCTCTGTGGCCTCGCTGGCCAGCCAGGAGCGGGCAGAGGGGATGCTGAGGCGGAAGCCGCCTGCAGAGGCGTGTTCGCTGCTGCTGCCGTCGCTGCCGCCGGGGCCGTCCCCGCCCCAGCCCGGGGCCGTCCCGTGGCCACGGCCCGGTGCCAGCAGTGGCTTGGGCGTGCGGTCGCGGCCCTCCTCATCGATGCAGAGGATGCGCTCAAAGGGGAGGCCCGCAGAGTCGATGGAGGGAGCGGCGCCGCCCTTTGTGCCGCGTGACACCGAGCCGCGGCTGTATCGGGAGGAGATGGAGCCGAAGCGGCCTGCAGCGTCGTGCAGGGCAGGCGGCGGGCATGGGCGTGTGAGGCAGCAAATTGCCAGTGGCAGGAGCCAGTCAACCCATGCTGCCTGGCCTCCGACACCCGTGCTCCCTGCCGCACCCGACTTGCGAATGGAGCCATGCCGAGAGGAGGATTGACGCGGCTGGCCAGACTGCTGCGTGTCCCGGCGCCCAGGCTGCGAGTTTTCGGCGGCAAAGGCAAAGGGGGAGAACAGGCCGCTGCCCGCCCTCCCCTGGGACATCAGCGACCCACTGCGGCCGGTTTCCATCGTGTGAGAATTGGATCAGAGGGGAGGGGGCCTGCCGTCCAAGGCCTGCCGTGCGCCAGGCTGTAACGCAGCACGCAGCATAGGCAGCCTTTAGCAGCCCCCAAATGCCAATCCAACATCCGTACAGCGCCTGGCAACTGCTGCCAAGTGCCCCAATTTACCCGTCGCTCCCTGCCAAAAAGATCGCTTTGATGTCAGCCGCCTAGGCCTCCCGTGGCATGGCGCAGCTCAGATAGCCGAAGATGAAGCCGCGCCGGCCGGTGCCCGCCTCACGCGTCATTCTCTTCCTGTTCGTGGGCTTCCTGATCGGCCTGGGGCTGGGCGTGCTGTTCATGGGTGCGTCGGGGATGCGGCTGGAGGCTAGCCTGCCGCTGCAACCAGCGATGGAGGCTCCTGCGGTGCCCACGCGCGCTGCCGCCCGTCAAGGCCGCTTGCGCTGTACCGTGCTGCTCGCTGGCGTTTGCAGGCACCTCGCACGCCATCATCGAGTCCAAGGGTGCCACGCACTTTGGGCAGGAGGGCGGCAGCCAGCAGCCGCGGCGCCTGGTGGTGCAGGTGCAGCAGGAGCCGACATTGGAAGCGACGGGGGACGCCACCGCAGGAGCCACCACAGCGGCCGTGCCGGGGCCCGATTCCATCCACACCCTGTGCACCGGCAACGGCAGCCCCTACCAGGTGTGGCTGCGCTGCCCCCAAGTCGGCGCCCGCCGTTGCGGGCAGCCGCAGGTTATGTCAGCCGGTGATGGGGCGCTCGACTGACCCCCCGCGCTGCATCCTCCCTGCGTCGACCCAACCAAACAGAACTACCAGCTGCGCATCGCATTTGCCACCTACAAGCTCATCCAGAGCATGCCCGGCGGCAACCGCCACACCGGCTTCACGCGCATCCTGCACCGCACCAAGCCAGACCCTCTTATGGGCGAGATCGAAACCTTCAGAGCTGACCCGCTGCAGCCCAAATGCGACGACTGGTGGGTGCGGTGCAGGCGGGGAGCTGCAGCCAGCTGCGCAGGTGGCGGCTTGGCAGCATGGTTGCATAGCGGGCGGCTGCAGGCGCTGCTGCCGCGGCTGACCGCCACTGCCAAGCTCCCAGCCCGGCTGTTGCTGCACTTCCACGCACCTGCCGTGTTGGGTGTATGCCTGATGGGGGCTGAGCAGCGCTGCAGTGCCCACCCAGCCTCCCCCGCTTGCCCACCCACGGCCGCTTGCAGGTGTGAGTACCCGGTCAGCGACCGCGGCAACGCAGTGCGCCAGTTTTTCAATGCCGCCGCCAAGAACCCCTCTATGATCAAGGTGCCTGGCTGGGCTGGCTGAACTGGCTGGCTGGGTGGCTTGCTTGCGCTGCTGCCTTCCATGCTCTGCTGCTGCCTGCTGCACGAGGACGCCGCACATGCCAAGCTGTTTTGCGGCGGGACCCACTGCAGGGTGCCTGGATCTACATGATTGAAAGCGACTACGTCTTCATGAAGCCCCTGCCCATCCCGGACCAGGCCGGGCAGGTGCGGGGTGCAGCGGGCCGCGCCGAGAGCCTCCCTGTTCCTGTCTTGTGTGCCCTTGCCTGTGCTGCCCCTGCCTGCCTCGCCATCAAGCTTCCCTCCTTCTCTCCTTTATTTTGTCCTACTTTTTCCTCTTGTCACCAGGCACAATACAAGGCGTGGGGGTATCCTTTCGACTACATCCAGCCGCGGTCGCACACCGCCGCCATTCGCAAGCTGTGGCCCGAGGGCGAGCCCGAGGATGTGCAGGGCACGGGGCCCGCCCCCATGCTCATGAAGGCGGCAGACTGGATCAAGGTGCGGCTGGGGCCGCCAGCACAGTCGCCGCTGGATGCGGCTCCCGTGCTGGCAGCAGCTTGCAGCTGCTTCTCTCACTTGCGATATGCCGGCGCCTGGCCGCTGCCGCAGGTGACCCCCGACTGGGAGAAATTCACGGCGAAAATCGAGGCGGATGAGGCTCTCAAGCAGGAGCTGGGATGGGTGGGTGTGCCGCTGCCGGGCCGGCTCCGCCGGCTTGCACGCCCCATGCAGCGCTGGCGGGGCGCCGCTTCCCTCAGGCAGCAGCCACGGGGCAGCTGGTGCCTGCTTTCCTTGCACGAGCGACACACATCCTACTACCGATTCTTACTTGCTCACATCCTACTCCTACCAATGGCTTAATTTCAGTCTGAATGCATGTTGCCTGCCAACTGCTCTGCTCTGCGCTGTGGCGCAGGTGCGAGAGATGTATGCCTTCTCCGTGGCTCTGGCAGTCAACGAGCTGAAAACGGAGCTCAAGCCCATCGGCCAGTCCTACTTTATCGCACAGGTGGGCAGGGGGCGCCCCGCATGCCGGCTGGAAGCACACCTATGAAAGGAGAGGAGGCGCGGGCTTGGGTTGACATGCGCTGGGTGACAAGCGCTGGGTGACGGGGCATCACCAACAGGAAGCCTGGGAAGCCTGCCCCCTGGCCCTGCAGCTGCCAATCGAGGATGCTCTGGGCCCCGCGCACGCCTACCATTACACGCAGGTGCGCGCCATGCATGTGTGTGTGCTGTGGTGGATGGCTCAGGCATGTCCCCTGTGCCAGGACGGCCGCCTGCGCTGGCCACCTGCCCGCGACTGCCTGCTTCCGCCCTCCTCCTGCCGCAGTGCACCATCATCAAGACGATCGATGGGGACAAGGATGTGTGGGCATACGACAAGCGGTTCCACACCTCGCTGGAGGAAAGCCTCAAGGTGCCGATGATCCCGACGCCGCCAGACTTCCAGAAGGGCTGGAAGACTATCGAAGGTGTGACCAGGCTGGCAGGGCTGCCAGCGCTGGCGGCTGCATGGGTGTGCTGGTGCTCATGATTCGTCGGCGCGGTGCAATTTGACCGCTGCTGACTGCCCATTCGGTGTGCGTGCTGCAGGCAAGCCCATCACCCCCAAGCTGCTGTCATCCATAGCTCAGATGGTCGCTCAGATGAACCGAGGAATAAAGACGCTGCAGCCCATCACCGCGCGATAGTTCATGCCTCCGGTTCGACATGGGGCTTGTCATCCTTGTAATCTAGTATCTCGTTCCTGAGGAGGCCGCTCAAGACTGACAGGCCAATGCAGTGAGCCTCCTCACCCAGCAGCGGGGACCGGACCATACCGGCACGCTGCGCTGTGACGGCAGCGCTGGTGGCGGGCCCCTGCACGTTGCATCCTGGCGACACGCTCTGGCTTCATTCACCTCTGCTAGTGCCAATAATCTTTGATCTCCATAGCCTCGCCAGGCCCACCCTTTGCCTGCCCGCCAACCCATCGTCGCAGTCACGCAGCAGCAGGTGTCGGGGCGTGGACCAGCAATTCTGAAAGCCTGCCCGAGTGGCAGAGGGCCGCCATGGCGGACAACCAGGACAAGAAGCCCGCCAAGCGGCTGGGCGGGCTCAACTCTGGGCCCGGCGCAGGCCGACTGGGTGAGCGCCCTTGGCGGTTGCCGAGTGCTCAGGTTGATGTGACGATTGCAAGCGTCTGGGGCTTTGCGCCGCTGCCTGCCAACACTGCATGCTGCTGCACGCTGCAGGGAGCTTGAGGAGCGGCGATGGCGCGGGTCCCAGCTCGACGGCAGCAGCATCAGCAGCAGGCGCTGGTGGCAGCGCGGCAGGAGGAGCACGCAAGGTGTGGCGCCGCCGCCTGCCGCCAACCCTGCCGCCACTCTCTGCCTCCTGCCGCCGGCCCGTAGCGATTCCGCCCGAGGGCGTTGCACAGCAGCAGGGAGTGTGCAGGGCGCTCGGGGCGAGTGGCCGGAGCAGCACGCCGCTGGCTGCTGCTGGTCTGCCTGCTGCAAACTACGGCAGTACCGCTGCCTCGGCTGCCACCCGCCTGCAGATGCGCTTCATGCCCACCAACTTTGCTCGCCCCAAGCCGCGCGCCGACAGCCCCTCCGAGGGCGCCCCCTCCACCTCCATGTCCGTGGCTTCCAAGTCTGAGGGCGGGTTTGACGACCTGGTGAAGGCAGCCAAAAGCGAGGCGGCATGGCAGCGGCAGCAGGGCGGGCGCGGCCGCGGCCGCGGCGGCGGCGCCGCCGCCGCCTCCCGCTTCCTCACAACCTTTGGCGGCGGCGCAGGCGGCGACGACCTGGGAGGAGGGTCGGTCCCCAGCGGAGGGCCTCGCTCGCACGGCGGCGGCGGCGGCGGCGGGCGCGGCGGCGGCGGCACCGGCGGCGGGGGCGGGCTCGGCCGCCGGCTGGTCAAGGCCGGCGACAAGGTCAAGGCAGAGGGGGCAGGTGCAGACGGCGTGAAGGAGGAGCCAATGGATGTGGAGGGATAGGCCAAAGAGGAGGGGGCTGCGGCGTTGCGGCGGCGGCGTGCGCTGCTGGAGGAGGAGGAGGAGGAGGAGGAGGATCCCATCAGCTACGACCAATACTACCCAACCATGCTGCCGCACAGGTGAGGGCCTGGGCCTGGGGACCGCGAGCTGTGGTGGGGAGGGGGTGGGGGCGGGCTACACAAGGACGGGCCGTTCTGGAAACAAGCTGCAGCCCTCGCCGCCGCGCCGGGCCGCGCTGTGTGCCTGCCATCGGGCCGGGCTGGGCTGTGTGTGTCTCCGCCCGAATGCCGCGCCCCTGCTGCCCTGCAGGCAGCAGGGTGATCCTGTGGAGCGAGAGCCCGACGACTCTGCCAGGGTCATCCCACAGGACCTGTTTGACCAGAGGGTGAGGAAAGGAAGAAATCTTTCTTCCCTGCTTTCACAAACCGAGGCACCGACAGCCCGGCCGGAGAACACCCTGCCTCTGCCCTCTGTCGGGCGCACGCGGCCCGCCGCGGCGCCGCCCGAGGGCAGGGACGGGCGCCCCGCTGCCGGCTGCTTGCGCTGGCCACCCCACGGTCTGCTCCCTGCCGCTCGCTGGCGCTGCCCCGTCACGCCGATCTGCCGTGTGGCCTGCCCCGCTGTGCAGGAGGACTATCAGCCGATGCTGGAGGAGCTTTCCTTCCTGCAGGATGTGGAGCAGAATGACGGCCGCCTGATGCTGTTCCAGCTGCCCTCCCTGCTGCCCATCGCCGGCCCGGCCGCCGCCGCCGCGGCCGCGGCCGCAGCCGCAGCCGCCGACGCGCAGCCGGGCACCAGCGCGGTGGCGGCGGCGGCGCCGGCCGCGGCCGGCGGCCGCATCGGCAAGCTGCTGGTGTTTGAGAGCGGCAAGGTCAAGATGCAGGTGGGCGGCGAGGGTGGGTGGTGTGGTCTGGTGTTGTAGGGCACTTGTTGGTTGCGCCGCGCTGCGGGAGGTGCCCAGCAGCCGCATCGGCAAGCTGCTGGTGTTTGAGAGCGGCAAGGTCAAGATGCAGGTGGGCGGCGAGGGTGGGTGGTGTGGTCTGGTGTTGTAGGGCACTTGTTGGTTGGCAGCCCAGGCTCGATTCTTTCCCACCACACCATGCCTCGCATCTGCTGCCGTCTCCCTCGCTGCCCCGTCCGCCACGCTGCCAAGCATGTCCCGCCTGCCTGTACCGCCCTGGCCTGTACCGCAGATCGGCGATGTACTGCTGGATGTGGACCCCGGCGTCCCGCCCCGATTCCGGCAGGACGTCGCGGTGCTGTCGGCCCAGTCCAAGCAGTGTGTGATGCTAGGGGAGGTGGTCAACCGCGTGGTGTGCACGCCCAACTTAGAGACGCTGCTCGAACCGGAGCAGCCGCTGCCGCAGTGGCGCCACGCCGCGGCCGGCGCGGCGGCGGCGGACAAGGGAGGGCGGCGGGCCATGGTCGTTGACAGCAGCGAGGAGGATGAGATGCAGGTGGAGGAGGCGGCTCCTGCGGCCGCCGCGGCGGCCAATGGCACGCAACCTCACGCGGCGCAGCAGCCGGCGCAGCCGCAGCAGCCGGCGCCCAGGCAGCTACGTCAAGGCAAGCACCTGGCGGCGGTGGCGGTGAAGGCGGAGGAGGAGGAGGAGGTGGTGAGCCCACGGCGGGGCGGCGGCGTCAAATCGCCACGCGCAGGCGGAGGAGGGGCTGTGCGCTCGCCACGCGCCGGCCTGCGGCAGCAGCGAGGTGGACAGAAAGCGGCAGACGGCGGCGGCAAGACGTGAGCGGGCCCAGGTTGCGGCACACCTGTCGGGCCTCCCTCACCTGCCCGCCACATCCCCTCCTTGCGTGTTCTGATGCCAGGCCAGCCGCTTGTAAATGCTAGCCTGGCTGGGGAGCGGTAGCGATGGCAGCGGCGACGCTGAGCTGCGCTGTGATGGAAGGTCCCTAGCGCAGCGCCGCATGCCGTGCCCTTTCGCAAATTGCCACAATGTCTCGCTCAGCTGCCTTCGAGCTGCTGTTTGAGCTGCGCGCCGGGCTCCAGGCTCCATCCCATCGCGGCCAGGCGCTGGAAGCTGGCTATCAAGCGTCCAACGATCTGTTGAACCTATGTGCTGACCACCAGTCGGGGTTGTATGAGCTCGGAAGGTAAGACCGCCAGGCGCCGCTCCATCATGGCGGCCCTCACAGACACCGCCCGTCGGCAAAAACACTTGGCCACTCACACCTGCTTTTGCTTTTGTGTTTACATTCTGCATGTCCGCAAAGGAACTTGCGACACAGAACTGCTTCCTTCCTGATATGCAGCCTTCTGCAGGATGCCGCAGTGGAGGCCAGCGGGCTGGAGCCCGAGCTGCGCGCCGCGGCGGAGGCTCCCGACGCACATCTAGAGGCTGACAGGCTGTGCCTCCAGATCGGCACCGCCAGTTGCCTCGCGCTCACGCTGTGCGCCGTCATCCGGGACCTCCCCCCCGCGCAGCAGTCCCCCAACCACTACTTCCGCGCAGCCCTGGCAGCAGCCCCGGCGATCAGCGTCGGTCCCACGCTCCTCTCGCGGCTGGTGGGCAAGGTGGCATCCGCAGATGGCAGCGCCGATCGGCACGTGGGGCTTGCTGCCCGGCTAGCATTGGATGTGATCAGGGGCTTCGGTGCCTGCCTAACCGTTTTGGAAGCGCTGGATATGGGCAGCAGTGGCCCAGCCTCCAAGAAGGTGGCCCGCAGGCTGCGCAGCACTACGCTGACGCCGCAGGCAATGGTGCGGTGCCTGGAGTCGTGCCTGGACTGGGCCTCGGCCTCGTCAACCTGGAGGCTCCTACGCGACGAGTACAGCACAGATCCAGGTGCGGCGCTGTCGCTGTGCATGCTGGGGCATGCACCTGCGCCGAAAATGCGGCCATGCGCCTCAGCCCCACGGCCTGGCATGATGCCAAGCCTGCCTGCCGTGGGCTCGTGTGTGCAGGTGGCGACCAATCTGGGCCGGACGCTGCGCGCGACTCGTTAGCGTTCCCGCAGCGCGTGGTGGCATCGCAGGCCTGCATCGCGTGCCGCGACCTGGTCACCGCTTTTTAGCGCGTGTGTTATGTCGCCACACTGGGGGCTGAGCAGGACATCTTGGCGGGAATGCGCAGCTGGGGAGGCGCCTCTTCGACTTCATGCTTGTTTATCATCGTGAAAGGGCGTGTGCATATGTGAGTGCCCTGGGCCCGCCGCGCCGCCGTGCGCCTTCTCATTGCAGGGCAGCTTGTGTCCTCGCCTACGAGCCAGTCTCTCTTGCGGTTTCAATCACAGTGCCACAGCGAACCGCTGCCGCCGCCGGCCTCTGCCTGCCACACAGGAGTATACGGATCATGTCCATGTGGTGAAGGTGCTGGCCTGGCTTGCATCTTTGCCGAGGGACCCTTAGCTTCTCACTGCCGGGGACACACCCCGGCGCTGCTGCCGGAGGTGCTGGCAAAGCTGGAGCAGTGGGGTCACCAGGAGCAGGATGCGCTTGATGAGGGGTGGAGGAAGTTCCAGCTTGCATTTGCCTACCCGCTGTGCATGATAACCGATGCAGCGCTGGATTTCTGCGAGAAAGCGGCGCCGGCGAGCGGCAACGAGCCACCCGGCAGCAGCAGGCAGGCAGAGAGCCGCGGCGGTGCTGGCAGCGGCAGGCAGCGGCAGCTGGACACTGTGGCTGCAGCCGAGCACGCTGTGATGCTGGCACTGCGGACCGTCCTGCGGGAGCCCTCAGGCCCAGTGCCGGCTGCAACACCATCAGACGGCCGCGACACACTGACCTTTGCAGCACTCTACCCTTTGCAGCACGCGCAGCCGTCGACCTTGCCGGTCGGCTGGCATCTGCGCTGCATAACAACAGTCATCCGCCTGATGCGAGCACCGCTCCAACGGCGTGCCAGCTGTCGGCGGCAGCAATGCGGCTGCTTGGAAGGCCGGCAGATCTGCACACCTGGCTGTCTGTCTTCCCCGACGGCTGCAACTACGACGCGCTGTCAGACCTGGCAGGCGCCTCTCTGCTCCGCTGGCAGTTGCTGTGGCCAACTGACGGCCCAGCAGCTGGCCTGCGGCAAGGGCCACTGCCCGTGCCGGAGCCGATGCCGCGGCACGTGGCGGCCGCGATCCTGGCCGAGCTGCAGCCTTTGTGTGTGGTGGCTGCCAAGCTGCCCCTCCTGGCGCTCGCCGGTGCCATGCCGCTCGCCTACGCCTTTCAAGAGGTGTTTCTGGAGCTTCTGGCTCTTGCCAGCTATGGATTGCGCTGCATTGCCACCTCGGTGGGGTCCGAGCCCGGCGATGGCTCCGACACCTCGCGGTGAGCAGCGCTGGGCTTGTGTGTTCGACGCTCGGGGATGGTTTGCGCTAGCGCCCTGCCGACCCTCTCCCTCATGGCATGCATGCAGGCAGGTGCAGTGCGCTTGCATCGAAGTGCTGGCAGGCTTGCAGCCTGCCGTCCAGGTGGCGGCGGGTGGGCTGCCGCCGCGACCGGCGGGCGTGGAGGCCCCCCCGGGCGATCCAGGCCTGTCTCCACAGGGCGAGGGCTACCTGAAAGCAGCCATGACTGCCCTGCTGACCATCCCCGACCTGTGCGGCTATGTGGGCAACATTGGAGTCGTTCGGGAATTGACTTCGATGTGCCTGGCGATGACACGGGTAAGCTGCCTGTTTCACATCATTTTACCCACACCCAAACGGCCCAGCACGGCATATGCCGTGGCGCTGTGCCCACCCGCCCAGGAGTTGCATGGACCTCTTCCGCCACCTGCCCTGCTCCCGTGTGCCTGGTGCAGTCTCCGGCAGCGCACGGGGAGGCCATGCTCTGGAGGTCGCACATACATGCCCTCGACTGCATCGCTGCGCAGCAGGCCCTGGCCGGGGATGATGAGCAGGCGGTGGCACGTGCCAAGGCGCTGGCCCTGCGCCCCTGCGCCTTCTTGGGCTGCACCTGTCTGAGCTGCGCCAGCGACGCGGAGCTGCAACGGACGAGCAAGTACTGTCGTGGCTGCCGCTGCCTGCGCTACTGCAGCGAACAGTGCCAGCGCAGCGACTGGCGTAAGGCGGGCACCGGCGCGTGTGTCCCCTGCTGGCGGAGGCCCGCAGGCAGCAGAGGTAACGGCTTTTTTTAATTTTCAACTTGAGCAGTGTCTTCTGTGGCCATGTGTGCACTGTGATCCATTTGAGGACGCGGGAGCTTGCGGCGCGCGCTGTGGCGGCAGAGCGGCAGCACAGCGCGCATGCTGGCCAGGGGTTCAGGGGGCGGCGGCAATCGCTAAGCGGCCTCTCTGCCGTGCCGCTTCAATTGACACAGAGAGGACCAGCGAAGGACAGGGAGAGACACGGCGATCACATTCGAGTGTATTGAATGGAGGGAAGGGGTGGTAGAGGAGGGCAGCGGGGTGTCATGATGAAACAATTGTGGTAGAGCCCCAATTGTAGTAGAGCCCCAGGCCTCGCTCTCAGCTCAACGTGGAAGCCTCTGCACCACCATGCCTTCATACACACTCAGGCAAGTGCGCGTCCTCATGGAACAAACGAGTAGCCTGGTATGTAGCCCGCCGTCACGCAGCGGGCGGCCGAGAGCCAAGACGCGCCTGTGGCGGTGGGGCGGCGGCCCGCTACCAGCATAGCCGCCTGCTCGTGCCAGGGCTGCACAGCAGCCTTCTGCTAGCATAGCTGGACTGCGGAGGCATGCTGCAAATGCACTTGGGCCCCCAGCTTGCTTGCCCCCTCCCACCCGCCCACCCATCCACTTTGCTCGTATGCTGCCGCGATCCTGAATGAGTGCAGCGGCGTGGAGGTTGAGTTCCCGTTTGAGGCCTACCCCTGCCAGCTGGATTACATGACCAAGGTCATCCAGGCGCTGCAGGAGGTGGGCCCGCCAGGAGGGGCCTGCCACGGCCCGCGATTGCTCCAGTATCGTCCCCTCCGCTGCCGGCGGCGGCGCCATGCCGGTCTCCCGGCCCTGGTTGTGCTGCGGCCACCTGCCGCAGGCTGCCCAGTACTGCCCAGCACGCCATCCCCGCGTGGCACGGGATCCCTGAGCCCGCGCTGACTCGTACATTTACTGCTTGCCACGAATGCTGTCCGCCCCCGGCTGTACAGGGCCAGCACGCGCTGCTGGAGTCGCCCACGGGGACGGGCAAGACGCTGTGCCTGCTGTGCGCCACGCTGGCATGGCGCCAGTCGCTGACCACGCAGGCAAGACCTGCCAGCCACCCTGTGGCCGGCTATCGCGGCGCACGTCTTTGTGTGCAGGAGACAGTGATGCGTGCAGAGTGGCTGGCTGTGGAGTGAGGGGAGGCTTGAGCGCCACTCGCCGTGCCTCCGTGCTGCTGCCTGCAGGCGGCCGCGGCGGTGGGCGAGGTGCAGGCAAACCAGCACAGCAGCACCCTGGTGCAAGGGCTGCGGGTGAGAGCAGAGCGCCGAGGGCGCCGCGTGGCAGCGCTGGCGCTGTTGGCACCTGCCGCTCTGCTCTGCTCTGGTGCTGGTTGGTCCTGTTGTAGGCACCACAGATACCGTGCTGCCGCCTCGGCGCCACTTCCCACCGCCCTGCGGCTTGTGCCGCAGGAGGCATGGGCGGAGCACCGTGCCACAAAGATGGCGGAGGGTGGGCCGGGCAGCGGGCTTCCACAGATTGTGTACAGCTCGCGCACCCACTCCCAGCTGCAGCAGGTCATGCGGGAGCTCAAATCCTGCAGCTACAAGTGAGGCGTGGCGGGGTTGCACGAGAGCGGTGGCCCTCTGGGGCAGGCAGGAGGTGGCTCAGAGTGGTTGCAATAGTGGTGGTGAGGCAGGGGGTGGCTCAGCCCCAGAGCAGGGTGCTCGGCGTGGCTGCCTGACCTCCGCCGCCGCCTGCCCCGCCCCGCCCTGCAGGCCCCGCACCGCCACCGTGGCCTCCCGCCAGCACGGCTGCCTGCACCCTGTGGTCTCCACCATGCAGGCCGGCGCCAACCAGGCCTGCCGCGCGCTGGTCAGCAAGCGCGCCTGCAAGTGGTGCGCTGCTGCTGCTGCCGCCTGGGCGCCGTGCCCCCTGGTGCTGCTGTTCCCTGCCCGCCTGCTTGTTCAGCGCGGCAGGCTGTGCGGGCCTGGCCAGCCACACCCTGCAGCGGCCACCCACCCTTCTCGCCATGCGCTGCCCGCTGTGCTCGCCGTGCCTGCCTGCCCGATGCGCCACTGTCCCTCCTGATGTCCTGCTGTACCGCATGCTGTGTACCGCATGTTGTGTACCGCAGGTACAACGGCGTGGAGAAGTTTGTGCGGCAGAACCCCGATGCCAACGCCGAGGTGCTTGACATTGAGGACCTGGGCAGGATTGGGGAGAGCCGCACCGTCTGCCCCTACTACCTGGCTCGGTAGGTGGGGGTGGAGGGCTGGGGGTGGGGCCTGCCGCCTGCGGCCCGTGGCACAGCCTCCTCACCTCCCTGCTCGCCGCCTCCAGCGTGCTCGCCTCGCGCGGGCAAACCCCGGCGCGGCCGCGCCTCGCGCCACGCCGCTCCCTGCCCCGCGCGCACGCCGCCACGAGCATGCTCTCAGGCCGGGCTAGGCCGCGCCGGCCGCGTGCTGAAGCTGTGCTCTGTGCTGCGCTGTGCGCTGAGCATGCTGTGCCGTGCCGTGCAGCGAGATGGCTGCCACCGCCGACATCGTCTTCATGCCTTACAACTATCTGCTGGATGCCAAGACTCGTACCGGCCTGGGCATCGCCTGGCAGAGCGCGGTGCTCATCTTCGACGAGGCGCACAACGTGGAGGTGGGCGGGGGGAGCTGGTAGCGGGCGGGGCTGGTTGGTGGCGGGGTGGGGCAGCCGGCGGTTAGTGGGTGTGGGTTGAATGGACCGCCTGGTGCTGTGACCGTCGGTGCAACCGCATGTACCGCAATGTACCGCCCGTACCGCTCGTTCCGCCTGCAGCAAGTCTGCTCCGACTCGATGTCGTTCGACCTGCCTGCTGCCGCGCTGGCGTCCGCCATCGAGGAGCTGGGCACGGCGGCAGAGGTGGCTGCCAACAAGGGCGATGCCCCCATCAACGTGTTTAATGAGCTTGGCGGCCAGGGTGGGCACTGCACTGCACATGCGCACCGTGTGTGGGGCTGGGAGGCCGGCTGGTGGGGGGCTGGTGGTGGGAACAGGGTGGGCAGGTGGCGGCAGGCTGGTGGTGGGGAGCTGCAGAGGTTGCGGTTGCGGTGCCGGCTGTTGGACGCCCAGCTGAGGCCCTGCCTCCCACGCTGCCTGGGCTGCCTGCCGACGTGCCTCCCTCCCTCCTGCCCTGTGAACCCCTTGCCCTGCCGCCCCTGTTCCCGCCCAATGATGCAGACCGCAACATCAGCCTGGCCAGCGTGGCCGCAGAGCTGCACCGCGCCCGTGCCGTGCTGTGCCGCCTGGAGCAGGAGGTGGCGGGGCTGGTCAAGCCGGGCTCAGGCGAGGCAGCGTGGCAGCACACGCCGGCTGCGCAGCGGGGTGCCGGCTGCGCTTCTGAGGGGCCCGGCTGTCTACCACCTCCCATTTTCCCATGTTCCTTTATCACAATCCACCACCCCCAAGCCCCCCCCCCCCACCCCCACCGTGACCCCTGCCACCACCAACCAACCACACGCGCAACTGACCCGCTCTCGCGCCCTCCCCACCCTCCCTGCCCGCCGCCGCCGCAGACGCGGGCCTGACCCGGCCCGGCGCCTTCCTGTTCGAGCTGCTGGGGCGCTGCGGCATCAACTCCCAGACCTGGCGCGTGCTGCAGCAGTGCCTGGATACAGCCATGTCGGTGCTGACGGAAGAGGCGGTGGAGGCGGGGCGCAGGTGCGGCTCCAGCGCCCGCTTGGATGCACACAGATAGATACCGGCACTGTACACACACACACACACACACACACCATCACTATATCTCTCTCCCAACCCGCACCGCATCCCGCCACGCACCCCGGCTGGCCTCGTCCCCGGCTGCAGGAGCGGCAGCCGCGCCAGCACCTACTGCCTGCACCAGGTGGCAGAGGCGCTACGCCTGGCCTTTGTGGGCACGGCGGCGGGGCCCGAGGAGCCGCCGCCGCCGCTGGCCAGCAGCGGCGGGCAGTGGCCGCCCCCGCAGGCCGTTTTGCAGCAGCTGGCGGCGCCGCAGGTGCCTGCGTCCCACGCCGCCTACCGCGTGCACGTCCACCTGGAGAAGAGCAAGGTGCGGCAGGAGGCCGCCAGGGCTGGCGCCTGCTGCACAAATTCGTTCCTGTTCTTGAGGCTGTCTGCTTTGTCCTGCTGTTGCTCCTCGCGGCACCCGCTGCTGCTGGCTGTGTGTCGCGCCGGGCCTCGCTGCCTGCGTGCCCAGGCTGGGGAGCAGCGCACCCGCACCCGCGCCCCGCCCTGCACTGCGCTGTCCCTGCCCTGAGCCCCTGCCCTGCTCCTGTTCCCTGCTCCTGTGCCTGCCGCCTGCAGAACGGCCGTGTCACACCCACCCTGTCCTACTGGTGCTTCTCACCAGGCCTGTCCATGCAGCAGCTCACAGACATGAAGGTGTGGGCGGCTGGAGGCGGGCCGGCCGGCTCCGCATCTGCCACGCCACCCCACATGCTGCACCATGCCTGAATGGGTTGCTGCCCGCTCCCTTCAACGCTGCCGCCTGACCACACCACACATGCTTTCTTCCTTACATACTTTCTTCCTAAAGGCATGCTTTCCTCCCAACACACCTCCCCCAGGTGCGCTCCATCCTGCTCACCAGCGGCACGCTGTCCCCGCTGGACTCCTTTGCCCACGAGCTGGGCCTGCCCTTCCCCATCCGCCTGGAGAACCCGCACGTCATCGCCAAGGAGCAGGCGAGCGGCGTGGGAGGGTGGTGGTGGTGTGAGTGTGCATGTTGTCGAGTGTGTGCGTGTGTGTGGTGGTGAGGTTTGTTGGCTAGCATTCTGTTGTTGTTGGTCGGCGCCTGGGCGGAGGCAGGGTGGGCAGGGACGGCGAGCCTCGCGGTGGCTCCTTGCCACCCTCTTCACTGCTGCTCACCCCGCCTCCTTCTTGCTGCCCTGCGCGTGATGCCTCAGGTGTGGGTGGGGGTGGTTCCCACCGGCCCCAGCGGCCACGCACTCAACAGCAGCTACCAAAACCGGGAGAATGCTGCCTACAGGTCCGTACCTTGACCTGCACCGCGCCTGCCTTGCAGCAGTGGTGCTTGTATGTTCTTGGTGTGCTGGGGGGGCTTGGGGCGGTACCGGCAGCAGTGGGGATGATCGTGGTGTGACCAGCGGCCCACCTGCCTTCCACACAATCACCGCAAGCGACACGGCGGTCTGCTTGCTCCTGCCCTGCCGTATGCAGGAGCGACCTGGGCCAGGCTCTGGTCAACTTCTGCCGCATCATCCCCGACGGCCTGCTCGTCTTCTTCACATCCTACGCCCAGCTGCAGGTGGGTGCGGGCAGCGCTTGCTGTGCTGCACCAGGGCGAGGTGCCCTGTGGTGGTTAAAGAAAGTGGGCTGGAGGAAGCGGGGCATGGCAGTTCCCAAAGTCTTGCCGCGCGCCACTGCTGAAGCACGCTGCCGAGCGGCCTGCCTGCCTGGCTGCCCCTCGGCCCCCGCCTCCTGCAGAGCTGCGTCGCCACCTGGAAGCAGGTGCCCAGCAGCGGAGGCCCCAGCATTTGGGAGCGCATCGCCAAGTGAGAAGCAGCAGCAGCCTGCCTGCCAGCCTGCCCGCCAGCCTGCCTGCCTGCCTGCCCGCCAGCCTGCCTGCCTGCCTGCTCGCCCCGGGGCCTGCTTGTCGGGGTCCCTGGCAGCCCACCCGCCTGCCTGCCTGGTCGCCCGCCCGTGCCTGCCCCTGTCCCCGTCCCTACTCGCCCTCGCACATCCGCACCCGACAGGAGCAAGCAGCCCGTGATTGAGCCCAGGGAGTCTGCAGCCTTCAACGCCGCAGCCCTCGACTTCCGCGCCAAGCTGCTCAACCCGGCCTACAACGGAGCCGCCTTCTTTGCCGTCACGCGGTGAGCGGCAGTGACAACCAGACATACATGTGTGTGGTCTCGCGCGCGCGCCCGCGTGTGTGTGTGTGTGTGTGTGCGAGAGAGAGAGGGGGGGGCGGGGGGGGGGGGGGGGGGGGGGGGGGGGGCACCCAGCGATTCCGGAAAGCACGCTGCGCTGCTCCCCCTCTGCTGCCCAGCCCCCTTTCTTCGCCTCCCTGCCGCCGCCCGCCTCCCTGCAGAGGCAAGCTCAGCGAGGGGCTGGACTTCAGCGACGCGGCGGGGCGGGCGGTGGTGCTGACGGGTATCCCATACGCAATGAGGCACGACCCCAAGGTGAGCTGTTTATTCCTCCTTTCCTCCCTTTTGATCTATTCTACTTCTCCTTCGTCCAAGGTAAAGCACCACACAGGTGCAGCAGGGGCACGGGGGAGGGGCCGGCAGGCTGCGTGGTTGCAGAGGCAGGGAGGCGAGCGGGCACACCCTGCTCCGCGGCCGTGCCGCCACGCTCGCCTCTCCCCTCTTCTAGCCCCGCTCCCATGCCGCTACCCATGCACCCGACTCCCGTGCCTGACGTTCCACCCGTTCCCTGCAGGTGCGGCTGAAGCAGGAGGTTCTGAACGAGGCACGGTCTGCGCCACGGAAGCGCGGCGCGGCGGGCGGCGCCTCGGCCGCCCCCCAGGGCCTCTCTGGAGACCAATGGTACTCCCAGAATGCCATGCGGGCGGTGAACCAGGTGGGAGCAGGTGGAGGCCGGTGGGGCGTGGGGTGGGCTGCGGGGATTGAGGCTGTGGAGGAGCCTTGTGGCGTGCCCCTAGCATGTGAGGGACCAGCGTGGTTGGTTGGGCAGCATGACCTACGGCTCAGTCGCGGTGGGGGTGAGGTGGAGGCGCGGCCCGGCCGGCCAGCCGCCCGCAACTGCCCAGCAACTGCCGGTCTGCCGCCGACCCCTGCCGTTGCCTGCCCGCCCTGCCTGGCCCGGGGCTGCGCAGGCGGTGGGGCGCGTGATCCGCCACGCCCGGGACTATGGAGCCATCATCCTCTGCGACGAGCGCTTCAAGTCCCCGGTGAGTCGAGGGCGGCACTCTTGCACTGGTGGCGGGCACCCTGGGGGTGGGGGTGGCAGGAGGAGGGAGGAGGAGGCGGCGGCGGCCAAGGCAGCGGTGCCAGGCATGCCGCGTGGACGGCTGAGGCAGCAGCCAGGGCGAACAGGGAGGTGCATCGCGGACAGGCAGCGCTGGGGCTGCCTTGGGCGTGTCGCTGACTCGCGGCCCAGCCAACTGTGCACCGCAACACACGAGCGCGCGCATCCCCCCGCCGCGTGCCGCCCTGCAGAACGTGCAGCGCCAGCTGTCGTGCTGGCTGCGGGGCCAGGTGGCTGTCTGCCCCACCTATGGAGCCGCCAACTCATCGCTGGTGCAGTTCTTCAAGCAGCAGGGGGCGGTGGCACGCAAGGTGGGAGGGCGCGGTGGCGCCAGGAGCCGCGCCGCCGCCCTGCCATAGGTCTGCTGCCTGCCACTGCGCGCTGGCGCCGATCCGGCCGCTCCCTGCTGGCCTGCCGCAGGCTCTGGCGGCGGGCGGCGGGCCGGCCGTGGTGTCCGGCATGGCGCGCTCGGGCCCCGGGCCGTTTAGCGCCGCGGCCGCGGCGCCTGGCGGGCTGACGGGGGCGGGGGACGCCGCGGCGCATGGCAGCCGGCGCTCGCTGCTGCAGCAGGTGCCAGCAGCCTTTGATGCGGTCGGCATGACTGAGTTGTTTGCGCCTGTGGCAGCAGCCGCGGCAGCGGCCGCTGCCGGGGCTCCTCCCCAGGAGCAGCAGCAGCAGGAGCACCACCACCAGCAGCAGCCGGCCAGCTGGCAGCTGCCACCAGCTAGCGGAGGGGGCGGTGCAAGTGGCCAGGGGGCCGGCGGCGGCGCCAACGGCGGCGCTGCATCACGGTTGATGTCAGCGCTGGAAGGCGTGGGTGGTAGCAGCAGCGTGCCGGCACGCCAGGTCAGCGGCCCAACCGCAGCAGCTGCCGCAGCCGTTGATAGCCTGCTGGGCGAGCTTGGAGCCGCAGGCCCCGCCCCGCAGCTAGGCACGGCGCCTGCCGGCATGGCGCAGCAGCAGGCGGGCGCCCGGCCAGGCAACGACAGCAGCAAACTATTTGAGCCGCGGCCGTGGGAGCGGGCCGCGCTGGCAGCCTGCGCTCGGCCGTGCCCTCCCAAGCCGCCGGCGGGGACGACCGCAGGCGGCGGCGGCGGCGGCCCGGCCGGGAACGTGGTGGGGCCGGCTCACCTCGTGGCAAAGCATGCGGAGCGGCAGCGCCAGCGCAGCGCCAGCGCCGAGCCCGAGCAGGCACGCGCTGCTGCGGCAGCAGGCCAGCAGCAGCAGCAGCTGCCGCCGCCGCCGCCGCAGCAGGCCGCTGGCTCGAGTATGTCGGCGCAGCTGGACCCGTCCGCTGAGGGTGCGCAGCAGGAGCCGCAGCTGCAGCAGGAGCAGGAGCAGCAGCAGCATGGGGAGCCGCCAGCAGGGGACAAGGTCGCCCAGCGGGCTGCAATGGTCAGCACGTACATGGCACAGCTCAAGGCCACGCTGACACAGGTGGGGCGCAGGCAGGGAGGCAGGGTCAGAAAGGCTGGCTGGCTGGGGAGCAGGGCAGCCGGTCGTCCATTCCTGGGCAATTCCCTGCTGCCAGGTTCATCATCGGTGGATCTGCTGAACTGGTGCTGCCGTGATCTCTTGCTGCCTGCGCAGGATCAGTTCCGGGCCATGCGCGGAGAGCTCAGCGCCTACAACAAGAGCAGGGACGTGGGGCGGCTGCTGGCGCAGGCGCTGCCGCTGCTGCAGCCGCACCCGGCCCTGCTGGATGCCTTTGCCGCCTTCCTGCCCAAGGCTGCACGCCCTGAGCTGCAGCGCCAGCTGCAGCAACTGCAGGTGCCGGCTGCTGCCAGCACAGCAGCACCAGCCTCAACAGCAACAGCTGGGCCGGCTTCGAGGGCAAACGCAGGGATGGCGGGGGTGGCACCGTTTGGGGCCCAGCGCCAGCAGTCTGCGGTGGGCCTGGCCAGCGGTGCAGCTGTGCAGCAGCAGCAGCAGCAGCAGCAACAGCAGCAGCAGCAGCAGCAGCACACGTTGGTTGGCCAGGGAGGTGCGGTTTTCCGTATTGCTCAGCCTCAGCCGCAACAGCAGCAGCAGCAGCGGCAGCATGGCCGGCCAGGGCAGGCACGCCCAGCACCACCAGCCGCGCTCGGAGGTGCTGGGCGCCAGCCGCTTGTGCAGCAGCAGCAGCAGCAGCAGCGGCGGCCGCCGCCTGGGCAGCCGAACAAGCTGCAGCAGCTGCTGTCCGGCGGCGGCGCGCGGCAGCAGCCGGCACCTGCTCGGCCCGGCGCCGCCGCACAGCAGCAGCAGCAGCAGCAGCAGCAGCAGCGCGGCGGCGGTGCCGGCAGCAACATGCTCATGCCTCCTCGCGGCATGCAGCAGGCCATGCTGGCCGCGGCTGCGCGGCGCTCTGGGGCGGCGGCGGCAGCAGGACCCGTCGCTGGGCAGCAGGCACGGCCTGGAGGCAGCGCCAGGCCTGGCGGCCAGGTTGAGCGGCGCGGGCCGCCGTGCCCTGTGTGCAGCAAAGCCCCGATGGATGCTCCGCACGAGGCGGGGTGCGGGCACAGCGCGTGCTATGCGTGCTGGCTCAAGGCGCTGGCGCAATTCAAGTGCCCCGTGTGCAGCCGCGGCGTGCGCAAGAACCAGCTCTCCAAGAAGTTCTTCTAGAGCACCACCCGTGTGCGGGAACTCACGCATATATGCACACTCATGTGTGCTGGCATCGACCTGTGTAAACACACAAAGGGCCACTCTTATGCGGTGGCGCTCCCCGCCTGCCTCGCCTATTTCGTGGTCGGCACGGCAGTGGCAAGGGCCCAAAGTTGCCACCTGCTGCTCGTCGCGTGCATGTGATGAACTTACAACAGAGGCAACCAGCCGAATGCGGCAGTGTGTGACGGAGCAAAATAGAGGCACAAGAGATGGCATCCACAGGGTGTGCAGCATAGCTGCTGCATGTAACAGGGCCAAGCGCCAACCAAGAAAAAAGAGCGCCGGGCAACGAAGAGGTACAGGAAGGATGCATGCATGCGTTAGCGGCACGAAAACAGTTGAGCTTTGAGGGGAGGACAAAAAATCAAGTGGAAAGATATCTGCGGCACACAAGGATGACTCGCCTATTGCAGATCTGGGCCTTTCCATTACGCAAGTGCTGTCAACAACCCCAGTCTTGCCTGTGGCAGGAAATCAGCAGCTACACTAGCGAAAGCCTGCCGCTGCCGGCAGGAGGGCCGCCAGGGAGGGCGCCCGCTTCAGGGGGGGCGCGTGGCGAGGCGCCTGGCGAGCCGCCTTCCTTGATCGCGCACTTTATCGTGCCGCTCTGCCCATCCTGCACCCCCAGCTGCTCTGCTAAGATGATGTCGCCATCTGTACACAGGCAACGGTTTGGTGGGATCAGGAGTGTGCGACAACAAGCAAGCTACACTGGCAAAGCCGCCAGCAGGCGCTGGGCTCTGCCGCGCGATCGTTTTCTGCGCTCCTCGCATGCATGCTGCCTGCCGGCCCTGCCCCTCGCCACCCACCTGGCTGCATGATGACGACCGGCACCACGCCCGGCCGCTGCGCTCTTTGCTGGCCTGCGGCTGCACGCGCCTGCGCCTCTCTCGACGCCATGGCTGCCATCTGCTGCTCTCGCTCTGCCGCTAGGAACAGCGCTCGCCGCCGGTATCGCCGCCGCAGCAGGAAGGACAGCAGCACCAGGCAAACGGCCACCACAGCCATCAGGACGATTCCAATGGTGTATGTCACTGCAGGCGCAGAGGCACGACACAGCAGCCAAATTATTCGAGTCGCCGGTCGGCGGCTGGGCGGCACCCGCGTGGGGGCGGCGCAGTTGGGTCGTGAAGCGCGGCAGCCGCCCCAACACGTGAACTCCTGCGCGGCACCTCCACAACCCTGCCGACAACCGCTGCGCACCTGTTCCCACCCCCCCGCTGGTGCCCGTGTTGGGCGTGACTGTAATGGGGCCTGTGGCGCCCACGCCGACGACGCCCGTTATCGGGGTGGACATGCTGCAAACTGTGAGCCCCTGTTGGAGGAAACGCGGCGCAGGGCTGAGTTTGGTCACTGCAGTGCAGCGTGCACACCTCTGCAGCGTATGTGGACAGCTGCAATTGAGCAGGAATTTCGAGAACAGCATCTGGGGGCGATCTCGCAGGCGGCATGGCGCAATGGCCACATCCACTTTCCTGCTGAGCGGCGGCGGTGGCGTACGTGCCTCCCGCTTCATGCCTCACGATACCGCAGCTCTGTGTGTTTTGGGGGATGTCAGTTCATTAGGATAGTGTTCTTTACCTGCTGTTTGCATTGGACGGCCGATGCTGCTGCAGGAAAGCGTGCATGACGGGGTTGGTTCCACGAAGGGGCGCGACGCCAGAGCCCTTCATCCGCGGCGCCTGGGCTAGGGCAAGTGGAGCAACATAAATCACTGCTGGCCAGTTTATTGGTCGGTTAGGCCACATGCTCGTGCCACTCAGCAAGGGTGGGTGTGGAGCCTCGCTGCCGGCGCCGGCGCCCGTTGGCGCGCCCGGCTGGCATCATTTTGTACCCACATCCCCTTATCCCTCCCTGGCATCAAATTCAGCTTGACACACAGTTCCATCCAGCGACGTCTTTCGCAAGTGAGAGCGACAGGCAATTCGCGACAGCCGAACGGTTCGACGCCAAACGAGGTTCGGTAGCAAAGCATGCTGCAGTGGTATGCTTGATGACTTGAGGATCGCCGATTTGCGCTTCTCAACGCTGCGCCAACTCTTGCCGCGAGCGGCTGTCGGTCAGCTCTGACCTGCCCCTTGGCCTCCTGCTGCTGCCTGCCTTTAATTGGCACCGAAAAGCAGCACTGTGCTGCCAGCAGGAGCAGTCTAGTGGTGCAAAAGCTGATCGAGGCAGGGACCGCCCCCACACCCACCCCCATCCAGTGCCACAGGCCGCCATGGCGTGCAAGGTCGCCGCGCTGGCTGGCTGGGTGTTTGGCCTCTCCTTCTGGCTCTCCCTCATCGGCAACATCCTGGTGCTCTGTGGCTTGGCGGCAATGCAGAATTTGTGCCACACGGGTGTGAGAGGCAACCTGCCGTGGCCGCCGCCGCGCCTTTGCCCATGCCCATGCCGGCGAGCACGCAGCCATCAGTGCTGGCATGCAAACTGACCCTGGCTGCCCGCTGCCGCGCGCCTCCCCGCCCTGCGCAGACGGCCCCGTGATCAGCAACAGCCGCAGGCTGCTGCAGGTGGACTCCCTCTTCGCGCCCTCCTGCTCCAAGGCCTACCGCTTCCAGGTGAGGCCTCCAGCGCTGGTGGGCGCACAAGGGGGGCTGGTGACGGTCGCACGGACGCTGCGGCGATGGCAGTCCCCAGTGCCGGCTGGCCACCTTCGGCTCCCAGCCGCTGCCTCACTGCGGCACCCCCACCACCGCCACCACCACCACCACCACCACGCCCCGCTCTGCCGCAGTGGTGGGGCTGGGCCCTGCAGACATCCTTCCTGGCCCTCACAACCGCCTACTACGTCGCCCGCTTCAAGCACTCGGGCATCATGATCATCGGCGGCTGCGCCAGCGTAGGCGGCGGCGGGCGGGCAGCTCTGCGGCACGCTTGCCAGGGGCTGGGGCGCCTGCCCACCTGGCAAGGGTCCCCGATTGCCCTTCCCCTCCCTCCCACTACCTTTGAACCTGCACCTGCTGTGCCGTGCCGTGCTGTGCTGTGCTGTGCTGTGCTGTGCTGTGCTGTGCTGCGCTGTGCTGCGCTGCGAAATGCTGTATTGATATCACGATATGTGTCACACTGCCCCGCCGTTGCTGTGCCCTGCAGGTGCTGGCCATGATCTTCTGCAACGACCAGCTGCAGGCCATGGACTACGCCGCAGGCTCCGCCTTCAGGCACGCCTCCCGCCGCTTGCGGCGGCGCTGCCGCCGCCCGGCCCGGCCCGCGCCGCGCAGCCACAGCAGGCCGCCGTGCGGCATGCGCCGGCAGCCGGCCCTGTGTGGGACGCACGATCCTCGATGCATCCGGGCCTTGCCGACGGCAGCCTGCTGCCCCTGCTTGCCCCCGCCGCGCGCCTGCCCATCTCCGCAGCCGCGCGTGCGTCACCTTTGTGGGCTGGCTGCTCGCCGCCACCGGCAACTTCCTGATGTTTGTCACCTCTGCACACCTGGAGGATGCCCCCGCCAGCGGCTGCCCCGCCGAGGGCGCCGCCAAGCCCACGCCTGCCCAGGAGGGCGCCACTGAGGTCGCCGCCAGCACTGCCTGAGCGGCAGGCCCGCTCCCAACAACAGAATGATGCCACCTGCAACAAGAACCCGTGGGATGCCCACTGTGCCACCAGCTCGCAAGCCAACCACCTCTTTTCCACTGTTGTTTCCAGCCACTGTTACAAGCGGCGCAGCGCAGAGGGCGCACGATCAGCCGGGGCACCGTTGAGGCTGTCAGGCGCAAGCAGGGCAGCAGGCGAGCAAGGAAGCGTGCGGTCCTGTTCAGAAACGGAGTCAGCTGGCGGTCGGGGCTCGTCAGAGGGTGGGAGCGGTCAGGGGGGCGGTGTGGTCATGTGTCAGGTCGACGAAGAGGAAAGAGCGGGAAATGGAAGGGGTAGGCAGCACATGGTGTGGTGGGGAGGAAACACGTGAGGACGTGCACACAGCGAGCAGGCAAAACTAGAGCGAGAGGGGAAGCGCAGCGCAGACACCAAAGGGGTGTCGCGGGGGCAGCAGGGGTGCGCGGCAGCGCCCGTCGGGGCGCCGCCGCCGCTCACGCGGCCCGCCGCAGGTCGGCCACCAAGATGGGCCGCACCTCGCTGGTACAGCAGGCCAGCAGGGAGGAGTCCCGGTTGAAGCGCAGGTCGTAGATGATGGCGGGCACCTGCATGGCCCGCACCACGCCGCCCGTGCGCAGGCTCCACACCAGCAGCCGCCCAGACGCGTCGCCGCTGGCAAGGTATGTCGCGTCTGGGCTCCACGCGATGATGCTCACCGCCTGCGAGGCGGCAGGGAGGGGAGGGGAGGCGGGGCGAGCGCACGCCAACCGTCAGCGGGTGGGGCTTGCCGTGCAGGCCGGCGAGCAGCGGCAGGCGGCCGAGGGCAAAAGCACGAGAGAGCGGCGCCCACGGGCCGACGCGCCGCCAGCTCAGCGCCGCCAGCTCAGCGCCGCCAGCTCAGCGCCGCCAGCTCAGCGCCCGCCAGCTCAGCGCCCGCCAGCGCGCCCTGCTCACCGTGTCGTGTTCGTTAAAGACGTGCACGCACGCCCCCGCCTCTGCGTCCCACACCCGCACGCTGCCGTCCTCTCCGCACGAAGCCAGCTGGCACTTGCCGCTGCTGCTCTGGCCCCACCGCACCGCCGTCACGGGGCCCACGTGCCCTGCACCAACACCCGCAGCAGGGGGGACGCTCCCCCAACTCAGCATCCCGCTTTCTGTGGAGGTGTGTGTGATACCAGCATGCGGCTGTCGCTCATCCAGGCAGCCTCACAAATAAGCCAGGCCCCAGGCCAGCCACCTTGCAGCCGCCACCGCACCTGCCAGCGAGTGCACCGGCTTCTCCGCCGTCGCCTGCCAGATCTTGACGCTGCCGTCGTCGCTGCAGGACGCCAGCAGCTTGCCGGAGGGCTCCCACCGCACGCCGTTGATGTCCGCGCTGTGGGCGCCCTGCAGGAGGAGGCAGCGGGGAGGGTGGCCAGGCAGGCACGCTGTGCACATGAGGGGGGGGGTGGCAAGGGGAATATGCGCAGAGGACTCTGTGTGGCAGCGCGGCTGGTTGGCCGCTGCCGGTACCCGCCACCCCGCATGGCCCAGCCGGGCGCCGCAGCTACGGTGGCCCAGCCCCGGCACACGGCCGGCCGGCCGCCCGCATGCCTCCCGCGCCGCACCTGCCAGTGGCGCAGCGGCTTGCTGTCTGACAGTTTGCAGACGGCGATGGATCCGTCCTGGGAGCAGCTGGCAAACATGGTGTTGTTGCGCCAGTCGGCGTCCACCACCGAGCCGGTGTGGTGCCCGTACTGCTTCTGCTGGCTGCCCGCCTTGGCGTCCCACACCACCAGCGTGCCGTCTAGCGAGCCTGCGGCAGCGCGGGGTGCCGAGCGGGCAGGGTTTAGACAGGCGCAGGGGAGCAATACCGGGATTGGCAGGCAGGGTGTGCAGAGGCAGAAGCGTGGTGCGAGGCAGCAGCAGGCCCCTGGCATGGTCTGCTGGCGGGCCCAGCCCAGCTCCAGCCCCTGCCCCTCAGACCACAGGCCACACACACACATGCACCACACACACACGCGCGCACCACACACACACCTGACAGCAGCAGGTCGCCCTTCTTGTTCCACCGCACCGACATGATCATGCCACGGTGCCCCTGCAGTGTGCTCTTCAGCACGCCTGCGACGCAGGTGGAGGAGGCCCGAGGGCGGGCCGACGTGGGCAGCTGCTGGGCGGGCGGCGCCATGTGGCAAAAAACAGCACAGACGGGCTCAGCCGCCGGCATCCCTGCCATGGCCTCGCTGCGGCGCTTGGGGCCCGGCTGGTCGCCACAGCCCGGCGGCCCCGCCGGCACGCCAGCCCTCGCACCTTCTCTGCTGAACAGCCGCACGGCGTTGTCGGTGGCGCCGGTGGCCAGCTGCTGCCCGTCCGGGGACCACTCCACGCAGGTGAGGTCCGCGACAGGCGCGCCGCCCTGCGGCGTGTGCCGGCACACCGCCACGCGCCCGCCTCCGCCGCCACCGCCGCCGCCGCCGCCGCCGTCTGCGAGGTCCCAGATGCGGGCTGTGCCGTCGCTGGAGGCTGAGGCCAGCAGGTTGCTGGTGGGGCACCACGTCACGCTGGTCACCTCGGAGCCGTGGCCCGCCAGCCGCCGCACCGCGGCGTCGGGGATGTCTTTGGGCCCCGCCGCCAAGAAGTCCTGCTGCTCCTGCTGCGCCGCCTCCTTCATCTCCCGCACCGCCACCCGCAGCTCATCGATGTCCTTGACCAGGATGTCGCGCGCGGTGAGGGGCGTGTACTCGCCGTACACGTCGGTACCCTCCTCATTCAGGTTGGCTTCCAGCTCCATGTACTGGAAGCCCTGCAGGTACAGGGGATGGATATGTTCGGGATTTCTTTTCACATCACCCACATCTTCGTCGTATGTTTACTGATGAGGGGCGGCCACGGGGCAAGACGCATGTGCGGTTGCAGGAGCGCCTGCAACCGCGGCAGGGGTGTGGGCGGCCCATGGCTGCATGCCCTCCCGCTGCATGCACGACGCGGCGCTAAGTCAAGTGCCAGCGGGCCGGGGTCGCACCTTTTGGATGAACGACACGAGGGCGCCGACGGGCACCTCCTTGCCATTGATCCCCGCCTTGCTCACGCTGCTCTCGCAGCCAAACACAAAGGCCGCGTGCGTGAAGCCTGCAGCGACAGGCGCGGCGGCAGGGCTTAGCAGAGTGCTGCAGGGGTATAGATCTTGCGGGCACAGCTGCCGGCCCAAAGAGACAGGCAGTCCAAAGGCAAAGGCAGGCTGCACGCTGATTCCATGTCTGAGGCGGACCGACGGCCGTGCAGCCCGCAGCCCACCGTCCGGCACACCGCTGCGAATGCCGTGCATGACAACACTTGCCTGCCTCCAGCAGGTATCGGTACACCAGAAAGTTCACTTCATCGCTTGTCAGGGACATGGCTGCAGGCTGCTGCTCCCGCCGCCGCCGCCACTGCCGCGATCAAGCGGGAGGTCGCTGTGCGCCTGGCGGGCCGGAGCCGCCCTGGGCACCGTCGATCAGGGTCTGGGCTGCTGCCAGGGGGCCACGCCCAGCGTCCTGGTCCCAGCCAGAGGCTTAAACGTTGCGTGGATGGCTTGCTGCGCCCGACAGCCTGCCGCTCTGGGGCTGCGGGGCCCTGCTTCCGGGAAGACGCTCAATGCTAGGCCCTCTCAGAGCCGTCCCAGCCCCACAGGGCACTGCAGTCGGGACAAGAGGCCGGTGGCCGGGTGCGCTTTTGGGGCAGGCGCCTGCCTCACCGCGGTCACCAGGCTTGTGTCGTAGGTGGGCAAATGGCAGCGGGCGCTGGAGAGGGCCGCCAGGGGCCGCTGACCTGGCCCCCCAGGGTCGGTCCCAGCCTGCCTCTCCCAGAAGGGCCTGGCCCGCGCCCCGCTCGGTCCTTTGTCCTAGGAGGAGGGCCTCGAGTCGCAGAGGCATCAGCGGAGTTTTAGAGTTGCCGCCATGCCGCCCAAGTGCGTCTCAGCCTGCATGATGGGGCCCCAGGGCGGTTGCAGCCGGCCTGGGTGGTGTGCAGCCGCTCCAGCAGTCATTAGCAACGCTGGGGCGAGGCAGCAGCCCCCCTCGGCCGGGCAGTGATGCCGGGCAGGCACGGCGCATGTGTAGCCTGCCACTCAGCCTGGCGCTCATTGACCAGCGGAGGCAGCGGAGGCATGCAGCCGGCGCGCTGGAGGCTGCAGCGGGCGCACTGCCCGGGCGCACCTGCTGTGCCGCTGCCGTGTGCTGACCGTCACCTGCTCTGCTTTGCTGCTGCCTGCTGCTGCAGGTTTGACCCCAGCGAGATCATCGAGGTGCTTATTGTGTGGCATCACAGCCAGCAGCATTTGGCGCTAGCAGCCGCTTGGGGAGGACGCAGCCGTTTCGCAGCCATCGCAAGACAGCGCACGTGGCGGCAGCTGGTGGCGCAACGGGAGGCGCAGCAGCAGGCCGGCGGGGGCCTCAGCATGCTGCTGCTTGCTGTGCTCTGCTTGCAGGTGTATGTGCGCGCCACCGGTGGAGAGATCGGCGCTGCCAGCTCCCTGGCACCAAAGATTGGCCCCCTGGGTCTGTCCCCCAAGAAGGTACGCAGGCAAACCGTGGCCTGGGGGCCAGCGGCAGGATGCAGGAGCAGTGGAAGCGGCAGCCAGCTCCAGCGGCGGGCAGCCATGGCTGCCGCACACGGCCACGCAGCTATAAATTTGCAGCGGCCGCCGCGCGCTCGGCTCGGCGCTTGTTCGGCATGTGATGGGGTTGGGCAGACATGCGGAGCACAGCTTCGGCGCACGAGTTCGGCTGTGCAGCGTGCCCCGGCCGTGCGGCGTGGCTCAGCCGTGCCGCCTCCTCCCTCCTGCAGATTGGTGAGGACATTGCCAAAGAGACGGCCAAGGAGTGGAAGGGGCTGCGCGTGACCTGCAAGCTGACGGTGCAGAACCGGCAGGCCAAGGTCACCGTCATCCCCTCTGCCGCCGCCCTCGTCATCAAGGCGCTCAAGGAGCCCGTGCGCGACCGCAAGAAGGTGAGGAGGGAGGCATGCGCGTGTGCATGATAGGGAGGGGCCTGCGGTTGTCGGGTGCGGGACGGGGCATGTGGGGAGCTGCCAGCGGTGCATGCGCATCGCTAAGACGATGCTTGCTTGCCAGCAGCAGCGGCGGGGGCATGTGGCAGTGGCAGGGAGCTGCACAGCGCGGCACGAATGGCGGCGCAGAGGGCAGCAGAACGGCAGCCAGACGGGTACAGCAAGCCATCCCTGGGGTGCAGCATGTGCGGCTGGTGGCAGCTGGGGCTGTGTGGCTGGGCAGGCTGACGGGCGGCAGCTTCCAGGCAGTGCAAGTTGTCTGGTGCCGGGCTCCATGGAGCTGTGGGAGCTGTGGGCAGCAGCCGGAGTGAAGAGCATGGGCAGCAGCACAGCCACGGCGGCGGCGGCCGCTGGCACCAACCGCATTCGGCACTGCAGCTGTCAGCAGTGCGGGCAGCGGCATGTTGAGAGGAAGAGATGCAGCACACGGCAGCAGCAGGGCAGGCTGCCTCACAGATTGAAGTTCCCAGAGCGGGGAGCGCGAGTCATCCAGCACTTTCTTGGCCGCTCCCGCCTGCACCTAACATCAAACAAACGACGCCCCACCGGCCGACCGCCCCCTGACCCTGCGCCATGCCGCCCCGCCCGGCCCCTGCCCCCTCAGGAGAAGAACATTGTGCACAACGGCAACCTGACGATTGAGGATGTGTACGAGGTGGCCCGCGTGATGGCCGACCGCAGCTGCGCCGCCACCTTTGCCGGCACGGTCAAGGAGATGCTGGGCACCTGCGTGTCGGGTGGGTGGGTGGGTGGGGGAGGTTGCTGCACAGCACGGGCACGGCACGGCGGGGGAGGGAGCTGGCTGGGCTGGGAGGGGCCAACCGCAGCGCGGGCACGGCACGGCACAGCACGGCACGGTAGGCACGGCACGGCACGGTAGGCACGGCACGGCACGGCACGGCACAGCGCCAGCCATGGAGGCTGCGAGGGATAGCGATCCATCTGGATTTGCAGGCTGGGATGGATTGGGAACGATCCTGCCACGGTGGCTGCAGCGCCACTCTGTGCTGCAGCAGCCCATTCTGACCCACGCCCTGACCACTTTCCTGCCCCTCCCCGCCCCCGCCGCACCGCAGTTGGCTGCACCGTGGAGCATGAGGACCCCCGCGACATCCAGAAGAAGATCGACGACGGCGAGATTGTGTGGTGAGCTGGCGGCTGGCTGGCTGCGCTGGCGGTTGCTGCAGACAAGCTGGCAGCAGCAGCCGGTGGCATGGCTGGTTTGCTGCTGCACTGATGCTGCGCACGTGGTGACGAGTTTGGAGCCGCTGTGATTGACCGACTGGTTTCCCCGGGTCCCCCCCCCCACGCGCCTGCTCTCCTGCAGCCCCGAGGCGTGAGCAGCCTCGAGCACCAGCAGCATTTGCTTCTTGCAGCGGCCCGTAGCAGCAGTGTAAACTGCATGTAACACACTCTGCTACCGAATGGGATTTTGGGATCCACAGGCCGATCCGCCGCATCCTGGCGATGCAAGGGTGGGTCACCGAAAAGGCGGCGCCGGTGAGGTGCCTGCGCCATCACCTCTACCATTGGTGCACGATGAATGCTTGTGGTGGCCAACATTCAGTTTGGGCAAGAAGCCACACTCTGGCACTGCTCCGAGGTGTGCACTCGGGCTGACTGTGGACCGGCGGCGGGCGTTCCCGCTCGTCACCCTGCCTGCACCGTGGGCCCGTTCCCATCGCACACATGGTCATGTGGCACTGCCCTGGCTCCCAGGCATGCGGCAGCTGGGTCGAAGCAGAGCGAGGCAAATTCAGTCAAGGCAGATCCATGCTACGGTCTCCCCAGCAGGCTCTGTCTGGCAGGATTGCCACCGCGAAACGCTGTCTTTGCACCACGCGTACATGCCCATTCGTAGCCTCTGCAGCTGATCTCCCTGCCTGAGTATAGCTTGCCCACGTTGGTTGCCCAGCGCTATGCAGTCCTTGGCGTATGCTCCCTTGCAAACCCCTGGGACCCAGAGGCCCGTGCGGGGTGGAAGGAGGCTACAGACAGCGCGCTGCGACGCTGGCAGCTTTCAACAGGGCCGGTCTGAGCAGCAGGGCCCCTCCCGCTGGCAGGGAGTGCCTTCTGCCCAGGCAGCTCCCCAGCAGCATGCACAGGTGAGCCTATGTGGCCTGGGTGGCTTGGGGTTGCACGACTGTGGCAGGTCTGCCACCATGGGCCCCCAAGCCCGCCGATCAGCGGCTGTCGCGCCTCGGCCTGGCCTGCAGACCGCGCCCCCTAGCGTCCAGACTGAGCGGGAGGCGCCTAAGAGGCAAGTCAGCCTCCCGCCGCCTGCCCGCCCGCCGCCGCTGCCCGCCAGCTGGGGCGCAGCTGCCTGGCCGGCTGCAGCCGCCAGGCCTGTGGCGCGCGCTGCAGCCCGAGTGGCGTCAGCCCCCAGGCTGCAGCACCCCTAGCCACGAACAGCCCTGGCCGACCATGCTGTCCGCCCCGCCTGTGTGCCCCACCCCCCATCCGCCCTTCTGGCCCTTCGTCCTCCTGAGTTCCCGCCGCCTCAGCCGACGCCCCTTGGTTGGCGGGTCGCCCTGGTTCCCCTTCCCTGGCGCCTCCTGAACCTGCCTCCCCGCGCCCCCTCCCCCCTCTTGCCCTGCCCGCAGTGCCCCCTGCACGTCCAGGGAGGAGATGAGCCGCACCGTGAGGGGCGTGATCCTTGCGGGTGGCGAGACCAAAAACCCGCTGACCAAGTACCGGGCGATGCCGGCGGTCCCACTGGGCAGCTCCCTGCTCATGGTGGACGTGCCAGTCAACAACTGCCTGCAGGCGGGCATCAACAAAATGTGCGGTGCAGGGAGGGCTGGCCGGGCTGCGTGGCTGCCTCGCTGCTGCTGCTTGCTGGCGATGCCGCTGTTTCCAAACCTTGCCGCTGTCATGGTTGCAGCGCTTTGCCAACAGGTCCTGCGCTCCAGCCAACCAGTGTCGCCCACGCCCTGGCCTGGCATGTCGAGCCTGTGCAGCTGCCGACCAGCTTCCTACCTCGCTCGCGCTCACAACCTTGCCCGCCCCCCCCGCCCCCCCCCCCTTC